GGCGGTCTTTGCTCTGCTTTACAGTATTGTAAAACCATGGTCTTAGGAGATTTCCTTCTACTTTTACAGCTCTATAGCCATGCCAGTGTCATCATTACAGTTTGATAAGCTCCTGCTACGAGTTTCCAGTCCATAATCTCTAAATATCGCAGGGGGGCTTGAGCATTTGAAGACAAATGTTTTTTTAAACCTGCTAATAATCCTCCTAGCTGCAGAATGTGCATCTGCACCACTGTTGCCTAATGATAGGTGGATATGGTGTTATTGCTGGACAACTTCTTTGTTCGGGTGTTTCCCTTGTGATGTTGCATGGTCTAATTCCGCCATCTAGTGAGCAGAGCCCCTAATGCACACTAGTGCCTTTTATATACAAGACAAAGAGGCCTTGTGTTACTTGAATAATGGATACCTCCAAGACAACTGTCCCTCTATGGTTTGCGCCTCTGTGTAACGGGGCTGGCCTTTCTATGTTTCTGGACGTGCACCATTCTGATTCCTCCTATTATGACACTTGCATTTTCTGTATGTAAACCAGTCTTCCTATTACGATAAAAGGAGCTCTGTTCTCTGGGTCAATCTGAAGGTTTTCACTTTTAAGCCCTACTAAATGTTAATTCAAACACAGTGGTGTGACCTTGCAGCTATCACTTCCCCTATCCATAATACCTCCATCTGATTTGCATCTATTATGGACCTATTTGCCCTCATCCACCCCAAAGCCACCATCTGACACTAGGGGTTGTGTGTGTGTTGTGGAGTTTTTATGTTTATCTGCTAGGAAGTAGATGGGGCCATTGCTTTGTTTATTCTCTGCATATTGCTGATGTTTTTCTTACTGTTATGTGAGGATGGGCTGGTGTATTGATTTTTTGTTCCCAATACGTTGCATGGAATATTACTGTATTGTACAATTCCCGCCCTGTTCTGTGGTATATTTATGCATGTATATAGGGCAGAAGGGGCTTGCCAACTTGGGAAAGTAGCCCATCTGGGAGAAGGAAAACTCTGGTCCCAAACCTCTGCTGCCTTGTGGCCATACTCATTTGTGACAAAGGCTTCAGGAGTAAACCCTGAGGAACAATCGGTACGTACTGCCTTGTGGGACATCTTCGGGAGAAGAAAAGGCTAAGGACAGTTGGATGGCAGACTCTCCAAGTGTCCCTTTCCTTAGGATGTCCCTATTTTCATTGGAGAAATGTTGGAGGGTATCTGACTCCAGAGCTGCCTGAAGGCAATCCTGTATAGGCACGTTTTTTTAAATTTTTAATGTTTTATTATGTTTTTATATATGTTGGAAGCTGCCCAAAGTGGTTGGGGCAAGCCAGTAAGATGTGTGGGCTATAAATAGTAAAATTATCGTCATGGACTGGGATGTCCCTATTTTCATTGGAGAAATGTTGGAGGGCATGGGATGGCGCCTTGTATGCCTCCTTCCACCAACTCCTGCTGCCAAACTGGTGCCAAATGTATTGCTCTGCTTTCCTTTGGACATCAGTCAGCCAAGTGGGGGGTCTTGTTGTCTGGGCAGCCCAGGACCTTCATACACACTCCTTGTGTCCTGGAGAGGTCACTTTGGTGCTGCTAACACAGCAGCAGTTACAAGTTACTCATCTCTACAGCCACAGCAGGTGCTGTGATTCTCCAGGAGTTGGGCTTCACCCCAGGAGGCGCACTCCATTGTCTCTCAAGACAGATGGATTCCAACAGTCGCACCACAACAATCTTCTTCAATGGGGTTGTACCAGGACAGATCACCACACCTTTATAACATCTGTGCTGCTGCTAAACTCTGGGATAGTTGAAATATCTACAACAACAAAATAATCAAATGGAGTTGCGTGACTCAAATTCGGTGTACTAGACCTAATTTATTTTAAGCAATGTTGGCTAAATTTGCTTCTGGGGTCCCAAAAGCTTAGGGGCCCCAAAGCTTAAGCTTCATTTCTTTCATAGTAATTTCATAGCCCCATTAGTTTCATAGCTCCCAGGTGGAGGGAGATAAAGATCTGTCTTGCTGGCCCAAAAGGATTCTCCACCTCTGCTTTAGGACAGTACAGTGGTGCCTCGCAAGACAAAATTAATCCGTTCCGCGAGTCTCTTCGTCTTGCGGTTTTTTCGTCTTGCGAAGCACGGCTATTAGTGGCTTAGCGGCTATTAGCGGCTTAGTGGCTATTAACGGCTTAGCGGCTATTAACGGCTTAGCGGCTTTAAGAAAAAGGAAACAAACTCGCAAGAACTTGCAAGACGTTTCGTCTTGCGAAGCAAGCCCATAGGGAAATTCGTCTTGCAGAACGACTCAAAAAACACAAAACCCTTTCGTCTAGCGAGTTTTTCGTCTTGCGAGGCATTCGTCTTGCGGGGCACCACTGTATCAGGAGTCTGGTGTCAGCATCCAACACCTTCAGGCAGTTGCCAGGGCCCCAGTGCTTCTTTCCATCATTTTGGAATTATGCTTTTTTAAAAAAACAGCAACACATGAATGCACCAATACATCTTGATGTTCTCCTCTGAAATTGATAATTAAGTAATTTCAAGCTGCATGTGGAATGTTCGTACTGGTCTTGAGTGTCTCCAGGCACACATCAGTTTAATGGGGTTGTGTGTGTGTCAATTATTCTCTTGTTATATTGGAAAATGAAATTAAATATATATATATTTAAAAAGACCCTGCAGTCCTCCCTCCCATATGCACACATAGTTATTATTTATTCATTTACTGATACTCTTTCTTATGTGCATCATGTTTTACCAAGAATGAGAGGGCAGGTCCCTGCAGCAAAAGACTTCACAGTCTGAAAATAGACACTAGGCAGACAACGGAGGGAGGGAAGGAAATGATGGCAGTGGTAAAACAATGAAAGAAATACGTTATTATTTCTGTCAACAAGGCTGCAGTGCTAAGCACCATCGGATACAGTGGAATTGATTTCTGAGTAAATATGCATAGGATTACACTGGTTATAGGAAACGTGGCTGGACTACAACTCCCATCACCCAGTGGCGGAGCTTCAAGCTCTGGCGGGGGGGGGGGGGAGAGCTGGCAGGGGATGTGGCACCCAGCACGGGGGGTGCAGTCGCGATGGCATCCCTTACCATTGGCTATGCTGGCTGGGATTTATGGGGGTTGGAGTCTGGCAAATTTCTGGAGGACCATAGCTCCCCCACCACGGCAGTACAGTATTGAGACTGCAGGGTTTGTGTATTTAGATATACACAGTGCTGACAATATCAGTAGCAAAGTAGGAGCAATAGCGATAGAGACACGTTCTTCTACATGAAGGCCCCAGGCTCAAACCATTATCTTTTCAGCTAAAAGCAACTGATGAGTAACACACTTCTGTGCCTGAGACCCTGCAGAGCTGCTGCCAGTCAGAGTTGACAATACTGGGTTAGAGGGACCAATGGTTTTACTAGATATAAGGCAGCTTCCTTTGTTCTTAATAATCTAGCTTATGAAAGTCAGCTGCTTCAACTGTCCGTATTTTCTGTTATCTGTACAATCTCCAGTTAAAGATTCGCCATGACTAGAAACAAACTGACAGCTGCACTTTTGCAGATCTGATGTCAGGGTGGACAATACTGGGCTAGATTCCCCCCTTTCCTATTATGAACATGTTTTATATATTTACTGTTTGTTATTTTGTTGTACACTGTTCTCAGGGGCTTTACTGATGGGCAGCATAGAAACTTCACAAAACCAAATACTTGGTAATTTGTTTTATATGTAATGCATGTTTACTGCATGAGCTTAACGAGACAGACCTCGTGTACAGGCTAACAATGGCAACAAAAAGCTACAACACAAAAGGAAAAGGGGAGGGAAGAGGAAAGCCTGCTGCAAAGGACCAGCATGAATGATCAGGAGCCCAATGAAGCTTGTCACTCAGCCACGTCAATGGAATGGGCCCTGTTTCCCATGTCTCCCTCTGCTGTATGTACCCTCTCTGATGCCTGGCCACACCTGAAGGCTAGAGGTGGCAGGCGCTACAGTTGCGTGACCAAATATGCAGCGAGCAAGGGTTGTTCAGGAGGATTTCAAGGAAGACAACCAAAGCAGCAGCAACCCTGTGCCAGCTTACCGGGAAGCAAGCCTTTGCGCAACGCAGCAGAACACACATCTCCGTAGACAGGGGTGCCAACTTGAATTAAAAAATGGGGTGGGGGGAGCCCATGTAAGCGTCATCCTGCAGAACTGATCATAATATGCGACACACACACACCATTTGGGCAGCAATACCCATTAACTTGGGGGGTGGGCGGCAGCCCCCTCAAATATTTTATTGTTGTTGTTGTTTAGTCATTTAGTCGTGTCCGACTCTTCGTGATCCCATGGACCAGAGCACGCCAGGCACTTCTGTCTTCCACTGCCTCCCGCAGTTTGGTCAGACTCATTTTTGTAGCTTCGAGAACACTGTCCAACCATCTCGTCCTCTGTCATCCCCTTCTCCTAGTGCCCTCAATCTTTCCCAACATCAGGGTCTTTTCCAGGGAGTCTTCTCTTCTCATGAGGTGGCCAAAGTATTGGAGCCTCAGCTTCAGGGTCTGTCCTTCCAGTGAGCACTCAGGGCTGATTTCCTTAAGAATGGAGAGGTTTGATCTTCTTGCAGTCCATGGGACTCTCAAGAGTCTCCTCCAGCACCATAATTCAAAAGCATCAATTCTTTGGCGATCAGCCTTCTCTATGGTCCAGCTCTCACTTCCATACATCACTACTGGGGAAAATATAAAAATATTTTATTGGGAGCCCTTAAAGGACCTCGTCCCCTAGGATCCGGCTCTTATGTCCACAGACCTGCATACGATCGCGAGCCTGTGGCTCATCCTCGGCGCCCGTCTAACGCACATGCGATTCATTCATGCACTCACTCCATTCATTCTCGGCCGGCCCGGCCTTCTCCCCGCCCCTTGTCAAGCCCCAGCTAATCACAAGCGGGCCCAGAGAAGAAGGCGGGCGGACAGCTCGCGCCAAGCTCTGCGCAGGCGCACTTCCTCATGAAAATATGCCTATGTATACATGTTCTGGAGCCCGCCGGCGCCTGGCTCCTCCTCTTCCTCCCTGCTCTTTCCCCATCCCCATCCCATGTGTTCTAACCGCGCGGTGCCGGCTTCACGCGCTCGTGGCGCTGCTTCCCCCTCCTCCGGTTCCGGCCTCGAGAGATTCGGCGCAGGCGAGGCGGGCGGGCCGTTTTTCCTCCTCGGCTTCGCGGGTGAGGGGAGCGCGAGGGGGAAACGGCCGTTAAAAGGGGCGGGGGCAAAGCGCGCGCGCGCGCATGCCGTGGCTGGGAAGGGGTCGCGGGGCGCGAGCTTCGAGGCTGCCGCGTGAGGGGGCGGCCAAACTGTCGGGGTCCCCCCCCAGAAAGGAGAGTCGAGGGGGGAAGGTGGTTCGACTGAGCTGAGGAGAAGGGCGAGCGAAGGGGGTCGCCTCTTTCCCTTGGCCAAACCCTCCCCATAGGCTGCCTCGTCTGTGGGGTCGTCCCTCTCTTTCAAGGGGGCCGCCTCCGTCCTTTGCGTACCACAGATGCTCAGCGATGCTGGTTTTTTTGGGGGGGGGAAGGGTGGGCGTTGAAGTCCAGAGACGACCCCCCCCCCAAAAAAAGCTCAGCAGGCGGATCAGGAGAGCTCCACTTCCCCAATGCAGCAGAGGTGGCTTTGGCCCGTATTTAGATACAGGTCAGGGCTGAAACATCATGTTGTGTCAGATTATCTAACTGCCCCACAGCTGGTGCTGGTTTTTGGCCAGCATGGCCTAGAGAGGTTGAAGTGTTGGCTCTAGGAATGGCAGAGACCCAGGTTCAAATTCTCGGACCTCCCCCCTCCCATGAAGGTTTACTTTCTCTGGCAACCTGATCTGCCTCGCAGGGTTGTTGAGAGGATAAAAGGTGTGCTTGCTTGGAGGAAAGGAAAAAAAAAAAAGGAGTACACCCCCTTCCTTCTTTTTTCTTGTCGCCCCTCCTGCTTAAAGAAAGGCCTCTGATCCCATCCTCAGTTGAATTCTGTGCCTCAAGAGGTTCCTATTAATGATGTGCATTCCAGCCATACCCTAAATTGGGGTGATATTGCTGGTAATATTTCAAAACTTAAATGAAGATTATATTTTTTACCCTTTTATCTGATTGAGATTTTTTTGTTCTCATCGATCTTCCCTTTCCCTGGTCTCTTTCCTCCCACCCTCCCCTGTCCCAATTAATTCCGCCCCCCTACATTTCTTGCAATATTTGTGTGTGGGGCAAAAACAATGGAATGTGCCTGGAGGGGCATCAAATGTGTTGGATATGACATGCATTCCAACTAAATGTACCATGGCAGCTTTTCCAAAACTTTATTTCATATGAACAGATGAAGTAATGTTTAGACTTCCCGCATCCCTGTGTTTGCTGCAATAGACAAACAGAATTGCTATGTTGTAAGTTTCATCAAATGCAAGTAGGCTGTGGACTGTGTAAGCTGATACGTTTGTTTATGACACTTTTACTATACAGTACTGTCCTTCCAAGGACTCTGGGATAATGTAAGTGGTTCATCTCTTTTCATTTTATCCTTGCAATGGATTAGTGACCAATGCAGGATCACCCAGAGGAGCCATATCTCCGTTCTAGTCCAAGAAGCTAACCACTGTGCCACACTGGAACTTTCTTTTCCCACAGGAGTTAGTCTCCTGCAGCAGTTGTCAAGGTATCTGGCTCTTAAAAGATTGAACACATTTATTATGGCATAAGCTGTTGTGGACTAGTGTTGATTTCATCAGATGCAATGTAGTCAGAAACTTGTGCCATGATACAATTAATAGTTTTTAAGGTTATTCATTCTGTTTGCTCTTGCTTGTGACTTAAGACACAATTAATATGCTGGATTTTATGGTGATGCAAGAGTCCTTTTGGCCCCACCCAGTCACATTACCACTATCATACATTTATATTCTTCTCCCTTATTCCATGCTGGTGGACACTGAACTGGCAGCAGTGGAGGAATTATGTCTACCAGAATGCCTCTTCAGAGATCTTACCGAGGTCAACCCCAAACTCTGCAAACTCATGCTGTTTGCCAGGGCTTTTAATCCGTGAAGATTTTCCTTTTTCGAAAGCACTGCTGGATGTTCCTGCTAGTTTATACACTATTGTTTTATTATTTTTGTTTTTATTCAGATTCTGAATTTTATTTTGTAAGGTGCCTTAATTTTTAAATATATATCAAAGGTGGATTAGAAATTAATAGCATAAATAAATGACCAATGGCTCCCATCCCTGTCCTGCTTTCCTTTATGATTTGTTCTCCTGATTACGCAGAACAAGACATATTTATGATTTGCTGTCTCACTGTTCCTTTAAGCAAGGCATACACTATAAATAAGAGTAGTGGATTTTATGAGGTTTAAAATTTTATAGGTGTCACATTAACTTTTAAATGGAGTAAGAAGTTTTGCATACAGTTGTTCCTGTTATGCACTGTGAAGAGTCAATGTAGTTTGTATCAAATTTGTCCCTAAAATTCTGGGAACTTGGAAGTCAATATCCTATTTTTAGATGGACTGCCGGTTTGCTTTGGCTCTTGCAAGTTATTCTACTTTTCGCTGGTAGCTACATTATTATATTTATAGACTATCAGTATGCCTGGTGTGTTGTGGTTTAATTTTTACTCTGCCTGCCAAAAAAGTACACAAAGCATACGTAAAACCAATACAATACAAAGTAAGTTTCAAAATATATTAAACATTGTGAAAATGCAGAAATACAATCTAAAATGGAAACAAAATGACCAGTGAAACCATACAACAGTTTAAAGCAAAAAGTGGTTTTAAAAGCAGCAGAATACACAGTACAATCAACATTATAAGAAAACCTTATTCATTACAGAATACTCAGATGTAAATCCTATTGACTTCAATGGGGCTTACTGTATAGGAAGGTGTGTCTAGAATTGCTCCCTAAGGCAACAAGGGGATGGAATTAAATGTATAAATTAAGCCTAGAGTGTAACAACAACATCCAAATAGAAAATAAAGTTTAAAGTATAATTGTTCTGTCTTTGTTAGTTTTCCTTGGACAAAGTTCACAGAAATAAATTGGTTAAAAGATCATAGAATAGAATCATAGAGTTGGAAGAGACCACAAGGGCCATCGGGTCCAACCCCCTGCCAAGCAGGAAACCATTGACACATACCATTGACAGTCTTGTGCAGGTGGTCTTAGTGCATTTATTCTGTAAAAACTTAAAACATTTTCTGTTTCATTTTCAACATAGTTTCCATGTTTGGATTTAAATACAACACCATTGTTCCAGTATCTAGACAGAGATTATGATTATTATTATTACTGTGTTGTCAAATTAATTTTTCTTTTCTTTTCCAGGTATTAAAACAAATGAAGTACATTCTGGTAACAGGTGGTGTTATCTCTGGGATTGGGAAAGGAATAATTGCTAGCAGCGTTGGGACAATCCTCAAATCATGTGGCTTGCACGTAACTTCAATTAAAATTGACCCATACATTAACATTGATGCAGGCACCTTTTCTCCTTATGAGCATGGTAAGATGAGAGAAAGAGCAAACTTTTAAACATTAAGAATAAAATAACGCTGAGGATGTTTTGAGGGATGGTGGTGTATAATTTCACTCTGACTGTTGCATTGGGGTGAGGGTTTGGAATTGCCAGTGCTATAGATGGAGTTGGTGACAACTTTTTTAGGGTACAATATAGAAATACTGGTTAGTATTTGTAGGGAAGAAGGTAGTTCAAGCAAGTCTAACGTATGCATGTCACTTGGTTTTAGGTGAAGTGTTTGTGTTGGATGATGGAGGGGAAGTGGATTTGGATCTGGGCAACTATGAACGCTTTCTTGATATCCGACTCACGAAAGACAATAATCTGACCACAGGGAAGATATATCAGTATGTCATCAACAAAGAAAGGAAGGGAGACTATCTTGGAAAAACAGTTCAAGGTAGGATATTGGAACTGGGTTCACTTGGCTTTAATAGAGGTCAGCATATCAGTGTTTCCAGTATTATGGAAGGCCTTGTGCCTTTTGAACCACAGAGGCAGTGCTTGGTTCTTTGTGTACTTCAGCTGAATGCCGTTCTGATCTGTAGCTGGCAAAGATGGGCATGTTCACATTTATCCCTTCTGTCCATTTGTTCTTGGCTGTCATGGTGGCATGCACAGTTGAGAAAAGTATACAAATAATTCTAAAAATAAGGCATGACAACACTTGATATATACATATATGTGGACAATATATAAATCGTTCTGCTGTGGTTTAGCTTGTGAAGTTCAAATTGATCGTTTATGTTGTTTGCTGACCTAAAATATCTCTGCCTTGATTTGTATTATTGTCAGTATTTCTACTGCTTGGAACAGGAGTGGCAATATCCTGGGAACAATGTGTTTGGGACAAGGCTATGGTAATTCCTACATCATTTGGGTATTTATTAGGAATATTGGGAGGGGAACTAAATCAGTATATTAATGAAAATATATAAAATATATCAAAGAAAAAGATACCATATTTACGTGAATCTAAAGCACCTTCGAATTTAATGCACATCTCAATTTTTGAAACCAAAGAAGTATTTGCTGGTGCCATCAAATCTAATGCGCACCCTAATTTGGCCAAAAAAGGTGTGCAATAAATTTGGGTAAATATGAGTACATAGTAGCCCTGGTTCTTAGTAACAATTTTCCAGTGGCAGGGTCTGCTTATTTTAAATAAATATAAAAGAAGAGTAGTCCCTGTTGAGAGGGTTCTAAAACTAAGACATAAGCTGAGTAATAGGATTTCAGCCCTAGTCATGTTATGTGCAAGTCACAACAAATATCTGTTGATTAATAGGGCACTGCTCTGTTGGGTATGGAGCATGTGAACTCTAAGATACTGGTTTTATTATTGTTTTTAGTTTGAAAATGGACAAATATATTCCAAACTCTTGTTCTCTTCTTGTCTTGTCTCGTTTTGCAGTTGTACCCACATTACAGATGCTATCCAGGAGTGGGTAATGAGGCAAGCACGAATCCCAGTAGATGACGATGGCATAGAACCTCAAGTCTGTGTGATTGAGGTTGGTATCCATGATCTGTTGCACAGGTTAAAGGCTGAATGTTGTTGTGTCTTGCTAAACCATAGTGTATTGCAGTGCGGGTGAGCTGTAGGAAGGTTGTGCCTGATGCTTATTCTCTTTCTCACTTGGCCATTGTTTTTCATGCTGGCTTGTTTCAGACAAACCATAGTTAACATTAACAGTATTCTACTATTTTGGATGAAACAACAAAGCAAAAGTGTAAGTGAAAATTTCTGATCTCTTCCTCCTTGGGGGGGGAGGGTAAAGTGGCATACGAGCCCAAGATTTGCTGCAGCTTGTTCTTGTCATCAGTTTGCAGTAATCCATGTATTTTTTTAGAGTAACATGCAAATTTGGCCAAAGAGTCGTATCTAATTTTAGTCATACTTGGAATAGACTCCTTGAAATTAACAAACATGACTAACCTAGCTCTATTAAATCCAGTGAGTCTACTCCGAGTAAAACGTAGGCGGATGCAATCCAATATCTTTTTAGGAAATGTCATATATATTGATACAGTACTCTGGTTAGAATTCTGATAGGGGCATTTGAGAGAGTGTCAGCAATTCCCTCCCTCCTTTTAGCAAGTTCTGTCTTTGTTCATCTAAGGATTTGTTTGCAGTAAAGTAACCTTTCCAAAGAGCATAATCTTTCCTGTGTTCTCCAGATAACATATAGCACTAATTTTCTGGGAAGATTTTGCTTGCAGTCACAGAATATGGAGGAAATTTAAAAGAAAAAATATTGGTTGGGTCAACTGGAAATGTGAAAGTGCCAAATAACTAATTGTTCTGGGTTGATCTTGCTTGGTTAGCAAACACTTCTATTTGAATCCAGGCTGAATGAGTTGTACTTTAGTTCCATTCCAAGAACTGGGATAGGATAGTTAGTTATTGCTTAGTACCCATTGAAATAAATGAAATTGAAGTGGAGGTAATTTAGTCTGGATCCAACCTATGGCTTGCATCATCCAGCATCTTATTACATAGCATACTTTGAGGTGAACTGCCGATAGTTATACAGAGTGACATTGACACTGTCTTTGTGTTCTAAAAACAGAGTATGGTGCTTAATTCTAGATCTCTCTGTTTTAGCTTGGAGGAACTGTAGGAGACATTGAAAGTATGCCCTTCATCGAGGCATTCCGCCAATTTCAATTCAAAGTCAAGCGGGAAAAGTTTTGTAATATTCATGTCAGTCTGGTACCACAGGTAAGGTATTACTGTTCTTTAATGATGTTGCTCCATCTCAGATGATTAGAAGTGTGTCCTTGGAAATGGGAAATGAAATTGGCATTTTTTTAGCATTATGAACACCAGTACTTAAAAATAATAATATGAAAAAGGCATAAAGGCAAAAATATTAAGTAAAATATAGTAATTCAGGTGATCTTCCTATGTTGTACCGTGAGATACAAACACTAGTTGATGTTTGTATCAAATTGCATAGATTATCTCTGGAGAAGTAACCTGGATCTACCAGGCACTACGTAAATTGTCCTGTACAGGTTTACGTGGAAGTACTTCCTATGTTCAATGGGTCTTCCCACTCTTACATGCTTTATATTGCAGCTTTGGCACCTCAAGTATGACTGCTTCACTTGATATCATAACAATTAGGTTAGCCTATATACAGTATTAAATCCTTTCAGAAATGGTAGGAGCTACTGCCACATAAACATTTCTTTTTATGTCAGCTTTTTGTGGCAAGGTTGCTGTCCTATAGTTGATTACTCACGTATTTAATATCCAGTAAGAAATCACTGGCTTCTGAAATAATGTAAATATATATCTTAGTATATGGCCATGACATCAATAGCTTCTTCCATTTGTATTGTAATAAATTTAGTGGAGCCTTACTCGTATGCATAGAAAAAATACCCCAAACTCCTGTGAGTTTTGCTCATCCAAATAGAAGCATTAAATCATGTTCCTGAAAGCATCTGATAAGGAATTAATCAGTATAGGCACATTTAATACTAAATTGTTCAGCAAGCCTTATTATAGCATGTGAAGCTGTCTTATAATGTTGTTCAGATAAAATCAATTTTACATTATTCTGGGCCAGTGAAAAATACTTCATTTTGCTGTTATTGCTTGCTGTTTCCTTCAGTGATTTGTTAGATTTGCTAAAACTTGGATGATGGCTGTATATGTTGCTGCAGTACATAATACTTTGGAGGCTGTAGATTTGACACACTGTCTTCTCATACATATTTCTTGATCCTTGTGTGCTAGCCAAGCTCTACAGGAGAACAGAAGACAAAACCCACCCAGAATAGTGTTCGTGAACTCCGGGGTCTTGGTCTCTCACCAGATCTGGTAAGTTTGCTGTGGCATGTAGAAATCACACTCGGCTGGTTTTATAGAAGTTCTCAAATGTCATAAGTCATGGGGTGGAGAGAGTTGTTTTAAATGATGCCATATCGACAAATAGCCATGAAGCATTTTGTTTGCAGAAGGCTACAAGGCATATTTCATTAACCTACCAAGTGCTAAAGGTTAGGTTTATAACCTGGTGCAGTATTGTTTGATAACTTACTGTTTTCATTCCTAGATTGTATGCAGATGCTCCACGCCTCTAGATACCTCAGTAAAAGAGAAGATTTCCATGTTCTGTCATGTAGAACCAGAACAGGTAAAAATTGTTTAAATGTATGTGTTTTGATACCGTTTGCACATTTATTTGTGTACAGTCGTACCTCCGCATGTGTGTGCAGAAGCGGTCCTTTGGTTGCGAAAACTTCGGGATATGGCCAGACTTCCTGTTCGCAACCAGAGGTACCACTGTACTTAAGTCATAGATCTGGTCTGTGCATGTAGCAAAATCTTCCCTTTGCAATATACAGCATATAAGGCCCCCAAAATCCTCCCAGGTACTAGAGCTGTGTATTATGCACATCAAAAATGTGACAGTGAGTATTCTTTTATTGAACAGGTAATTTGTGTTCATGATGTCTCTTCCATCTATCGGGTACCTCTTTTGCTAGAGGAGCAAGGGGTGGTTGATTATTTCCGACACCGCCTTGACCTTCCCATTGAAAAGCAGCCTAGGAGAATGCTCATGAAATGGAAGGAGATGGCTGACAGGTGAGCTCGCTCGTAGGAAGCAACTGTGCTGTTCTGACCTACTATGTTAGCAGAGGAGTGGCTAGGAGGAGAGCTTGCTTCCTTAGCCCTCTCCAGAGTATTTTGGCAAGAACAGATTCTCTTCCTAACTATTCACTCACAGAAAAACTGTAGATAAATCTTTTACAGGTACAGTAAGTTAGAACTTGGCAAATTTTGCTGTAGACTAGTTCCTGTGTTAACCTTTATAGTTTTCTCTTAACTGGACTGAAGTAGCTATAACATGTGGATGAGTACTTAGAATCATAGAGCTGGAAGGGACACCACGGGTCATCTAGTCCAACCCCCTGCAATGCAGGAATCTCAACAAAAACATCCATGACAGATGCCCATCCAACCTTTGCTTAAAAACCTCCAGTAAAGGGAATTAAGGGAAAGATTTAAACTTAATTAAGGCTACAATCCTATACCACTAAGCTGGGAGTATGCTCCATTGAGCCCAATGGGATGTTTCTCAGTACACATGCCTTCATGTAGAGAAGCCTAAAAAAAACCCCTTATCCCCATATCTTCATTTTGTAGTGGTAGAATCAGTTTTACAACCTCTGGGATCTACCATCTTATTATTTGCATATATAGACCAGGCCTGAGAATTCTCGTGCTGAATCATATTATTCATTCAACATTTGGCTTTGTATGCCTGGGCTCTAAACATATACAATATTGCATATGTGCTGCCAAAGCGAGAGGCTGCTTGATCATGCAGGTCTGATCTTTTAACTAATTATTTTAGCTAATAGTATATAGTTTGTGCTTTTAAAGGTTAAAGATAGAAGATATAGTGTTGTGCTTTTTTGTTTTGTTCACACAGATATGATCGCTTATTGGAGACCTGCTCTATTGCTCTTGTTGGCAAATACACAAAGTTTTCAGATTCCTATGCTTCTGTCATCAAAGCTTTGGAACATTCTGCCCTGGCTATCAATCACAAGCTTGAGATCAAGGTATGCTTTTCCACTAGCCCCAGCAGAATCGCTGTCTTCTCTGGATTCATGTTTAAAGCAAAGGGAAGCAATAAACAGGATGTACTTTCCTGTTTTGAGAATGGTGCTTCAGCAGCAGCCAAGGTGCCAATATTTCCAGCCCAAAAATACTCATGCACAAAAATCTACTGTATTTAGAAAAAATACAATCCATTTAATGTTACATTCAAGCAGCACTGAGGATAACAAAGCTTACTAACCTGCTGCTACTTGCATAGCCATTGGACATAATTGGTGGTAGAAGCATCATGGTGATGCAGTTTCGAATCCCCAGCTGGGTACTGTTCCTTTCCAGAGGACAAAAGATTTTGGGAAGCTTGCCATATAAAATATATGGATGGGGAAACAGGCCATCCATTCTTCTCTTGCCCCCCACAAAAGTGGATAGGAACATCACTAAGCAGAATATAGGTTTTGTTTACTTTAAACAGCAATTCAGATCTAGAAACTACAAGGGAAGGGTAGGCAGCCTGGTGCCCTTCAGAAGTGCTGGGCTACATCTCTCATCAGCCTCAGTCAGCATGGACAACGGTGAAGGATGATGGGATTTGAGGTCCAGAATGTCTGGAGGGATACGGTTTGCTGCTATAGGAATTCAAAACCCTCTTGGAAGAGCTCATGTATGTAATGTGACACCTTGAAACCTCCATCTTTGGAGCTTCAGAGCAAGCAGAAGACAACAGTTGTCATGATGGCAGAAGCCCTCCACCAAATGGAAGACTCTTAAAGTGTTTCAGCCTATGTGGATGTCCTCCTTCACAAACTGTTGGATTATCTGATTGTTTCAGAAAAGATTGTTTGCATCCCACCCATCCTTCTCTCTTGCATTTCTTACTATACCCAGAGGCAGTCTCTGCACCTGGAGACTGGGCCTCCAATTCTAGAGCGCCAAGGATATTGGAGAGGGGTGGTAGAGGCCCTTTTGGCTCCAAACAGTAAAAATTTCTGAACAGAACAATAAATTGACCATCAAAAATAACATCTGTTTTACAATACAAGACCTGTATTTTTTTATGGGTGCAAAAACTCTGTGCTTCAATAATTGGAACAGTTGTGTCATACGTAGTTTTGGGGAAACAAAAAGAAATATGTGCCGATCTCTTCAGATAGTGTTTGATCTGGTTGTATAATAATAATACCATCAGTGAGGGAGGGGAGAAGCTTTTTGCTCCTATGAGCTAAAAAAGTAGTACCACTGATTCTGCTTTAATCTCATGTTTTTTAAAAATGGATTTCTTCCTAGTACATTGATTCTGCTGACTTGGAACCAGCTACTCTCCAAGAAGAACCAGTTCGATACCATGAGGCCTGGCAGAAACTCTGTAGTGCTGAGTAAGGCATACATAACCTTGCTTTCCTCCTTGAGACGCAGTGACTCCTGCTGGCATCATTCTAGGCTTCTTTTATTGTTCCCTGGTTGGCTCAGTATTCTAGTCTGGCTGGGCCTGTTTATATAGAGTTAGAGTGGCCGTTTTCCTTTTCATCTTATGAGCCAAGTAGACAGTGGGTAGACTCATGGAAATGGATGGATGAGGTTAACTTAGGTTCATTAATATCAGTAGGTCTGCTCAGGGCAGAACTTAGTTGCACAAAACCCAACGTGCCACACATCCTGTTACTCAATGGCAAGAAATCATACTGCCACAAATAAGAGTCTAGTTATATATTAATAGCCAGTGGTCTTTCAATAGCAGTTGACTGCAATTGTTACATAGATCCTGCATGCTTAGAGGCAATTTGCCACTGAATACCAGTTGATAACTCTGAAGAATAGCTCATTTGGTAGAGCATGAGACTCTTAATCTCAGGGTTGTGGGTTCGAGACCTATGTTGGGTCATAGAGTCCTGCACTGCACAGGGTTGGACTAGATGATCCTCGTGGTCCCTTTCAACTCTATAATTCTTTGATGATGGTGGCAGGATTCTGGAACAGAGTATATTAATGAGATTCACCTTTTAGCTGTGAATGCATCCTTTCCCCCCAATAAATATTTTTACTGAGTGTCTATGTATAAAGATACAAAACAAAGGCAATATAGTACAATAAAACCACAAAAAGATAGAGTGGGACATAAACCAAATATATGTATACAATTCTATCCCATGTATACATGATCAGAAGTAGTGTATATTGCATTTTAGTCTTGCACTCCAAATTTCCAAGGATACTGCAGGCAGCTGTTGAAGGTTTGCACTTCCTTGGAAAGAACGTCTACTTGCATTTCTGACCCTTGTCATACATAGATTGATACTGCAGAGCACTTAAATCATTCTGAATAGTCTCTTTTGGAGATGGGGAGCAAAACAGCCATGGTGTTCAGCCTTTGAAGCCAGTCCCCTTTTATATGCTTCAATTGCCTGGCTTCAGAAGGATTACTCTAATTAAACAACAGCTATAAAGGCAAACCATTTGTTTGAGGGGAGCTACACATTTGGTGGAGACTGTTGTCTGGAAACCTGCATGTCTGCTAAGTAGCAAAGAGATTTTGAAGGTCAGACACAGCAGGCAACCCTGCACAATATACTTTACTTTAAGCATGGCTTTCTGCTGCTGCTTTGCAGTTATTTGGAAAAGATCCAAGAGTGTTCACTAACTTCTGAAACTCCCGCCCCTTGAGAGTGATTAATGAAATGTGCGAAAGAGATGGACAAATTAGTGAATGTCATATGTAGGAAGAATGGTAGCCATTAGAAAGTTAGTATGCTGAAAAATGGACATGTTCTACAGATCGTTGGCAGATGCAGTGGACATATGACCTGAAAGGAATGTATTTGTATAACCTAATGGTGTAATTTGCACTCTGTTCTGTTTCTGTGTAGATGTTTGAAGTTTAAAATAATAATGAAAAGCTTTGTGGAATGGTTCACCTTCCTGCACTGCAGGGGTTGGACTAGATGGCCCTTCATGTCCCTTCCAACTCTACAATTCTATGATTCTATGAAAGTGTAACAGACTTTCAAGTGTCACTGAATGGATTTCTCCCCCCTTTTATGCAGTGGAATCTTGGTTCCAGGAGGGTTTGGTGTTCGAGGAACGGAAGGGAAGATCCAAGCTATTTCTTGGGCAAGAAAACAGAAAAAACCCTTCTTAGGTGAGAGATGATTTTTTTATTATTATTACACACCAGGTAGAGGTTTTAACTATTAAGCAATAATCCACTCTAATACCTTAGGATCAGGTACTTGAGTTGCTGTGCAGCCTGTCAAATGTAAGAGGCAACTGGCAAGGAGGAGTTTCGGGTTTACACTGATCAATATCTGTTTTCTTCATAACTTTGAGCTTGCTTGGGGGTCATACAAGCAGAGATCCGCATCCCCTGTACACCCCACCCCAATCATTGTAACCTTTTTGTCATTGTGCTTATGTGGCCCCTGATGCAAATAGTGGCTGCTATGAGAGAGTTATTGGGGATTTGGATAGAGCGCTGTGCTGTCTTTTTCTGCAGGAGTCTGCTTGGGAATGCAGCTAGCAGTTGTGGAATTCGCCCGCAATATCCTGGGTTGGAAAGGTAAATGCAGTGATGTAAAAATACTTCATTGGGGATGGATTTATGGGTGCCAATACTTAAGATTGCTAATGACTGGTGTTTCTAGTGGATTGGTATAAATTACTACCTGTCTTAAAGGGGAACAGCACCCATTTTTCTTCACTCTGTCCTTGTAACTGTTTTCTAAGCCACAGACATCTTTTATGCTAACTGTTGTATTCCTCCAATTCAATTGAACTGATTGGAATAGGAGGCAGTATTTCCAGTGCATTCACTACTGACCTTAGAGTTTCACAGGATAATAGTTAAGATCTGTATAGCATGAGAGTGCTTCAGGGACATATTGTCTCTGTAATCCCTGAATCAAGTCTGCAGGATGGGTCACAGGTATTCATGATAGCATGACCAGTACAGCCCAGCTCACATCATGAGCACCCTGAAAAGTATTCTTTAGCTGCTTGTTATGTTAGTATTTCTGAGTTTTGTGCCTACAGGCTCCTTTTTGAAAAAAGAAGCCTTATATGGTATGGGATGTGAGTAGTTAATGGTTGGTCTGTGAACCATAAGCCCATAGCTAAATTATGCTTTGGTCATGATCTCAAACCCTCACTTGCAGCCCTGCAGTTTGGGGTTAATGCTGACCTATCCTGCAGACCTATTGACTGATGGAAAATTAGGGTTTGCACTGCTAGCCATATCTGATCAACGTTTGTAATTGGCAGATGCCAACTCTACAGAATTTGACCCCAAAACTACACATCCAGTGGTAAGTATGATGTAATTTTTGAGCCTACGGTGGTTGTACTTCTTGCACGCCAAGACCATTCAGCATTTTCCCATAGAGAACCAAAAATATGAAATACGTTGGCTGGCTTGCACAGAAATTAATGGCAAGAATAAACGGTTGGGGTGTGAAACATACTCCCCTTATGGTCTTATGGAATGCAACCACAAATTGATGAATGGAGCATTGTGGCTATGGTGCCTATCTCTGTTGCATTGTATAAGTCAAAACTTTCAAGGTTGTCTTCAATTGAGTTTTACTCAGAGTTGAATCATTGAAATTAATGGTCCTAATGTAACCATAATCATTAACTTTAGTAGGTCTACTCTGGGTATGACAAGTTTTGGCCCATATGCCTGGAGAGAAAGCAAGACCTCTCTATCCATGTGGGACATAATGTTCAAATATGTTATAATATGGCATGTCAAATTTGATGCATATAGGCCCAGGATGTAGGATCATTTAGTTAACACCATATTTCTGCTTTTATATTGTTTTATTGATTTTATTGATTTTTTTAAAATTTATGGACATTTATAGCCCACCTTTCCTTCAAGGAGCTCAAGGCGGCGTACAGGGTTTTCTCTCTCCGTGTTTTATCCTCACAACAGCCTTGTGAGGAAGCTTAGGCTGAGAGACAGTGACTCGCCCATGGTCCCCTTGAGCCTATGTGTCTGTTGCCTCTCTCTTCTCCCTCCTCACCCCCAGCCAACCTACAGAACTGAATGACTATCTGTTTTGTATGGAAAGTCCAGGCCGTTCCACTACAGAACTCCATGACTCCTCTCTAAAGTAATCTCTTGGCTTGATTGAAATGTGATGAAACCAGTTTTCTACTTGTAGAACACAAATGATTAAGATTGATATTTATGGCCTTTTGTTTATGCCAAGAGCTACCCTTTGGTGTATGCTTATCTTCTAATTCCTTTTCAATCCCATTGTCCTCTTTTGAATTACTTTCCTCAGATCGTAGACATGCCGGAGCATAATCCTGGTCAAATGGGTGGGACCATGAGGCTTGGGAAGAGGAAGACAGTTTTTCACACCAAGAACTCAGTCATGAGTATGGCTCTTCTTAGACCTATGTTATCTCTCCTCCTTTGTATTCCACTTTCCTTTTGCTTGTTGGTGAACAGTGATGGTACAAATACATGATCTATTGTGTTAAGTACTGGAAGATTTTGTGCTAAACGGCTCCCACTCCTGTTGTTGTTTTAATTGATCAGTCTCCTTCCACGTATGTCCCTTGGCAATGCACACAACATATAATAAAAGCAGTTTCAAAACGGCACAAAAAAATAACATATGAATTTAAAAGCAATACAAAATGGATAAATATAGCAGAGATGTGTTGATCCAGCTGGAAAGTTTCTTGGAACAAACTTTTCAGGAACAGAGACTTTTTCTCTCATTTCATATCAAAACTTTGTGGTGGTACAGGGACTTTTAATGGTAGCAAGTTTAGTGTAGACAAGAAATACTACTTCATGCAATGCATATATAAATTATGGAATTCACTGCTAGATGATGTGATGGCCAGTAGTTTTGATTTTAAAGGGGATTAGACAGCTCAGTCTGTGGCTGCTGACCATGATGGTTAAATAGAACCAGGTCCAGAGATGATATGACAGTTGCTGGGGAGCGACAGGGGGAGACAATTGCCTTGATGTCATTATTGAAGTTCTTGGAGGCATCTGGTTGGCCACTGGGATGTAGCACGTTGGTCTAGATCGGGGATGCCCAAACGTTTTTCAAAGAGGGCCAGATTTGATGAAGTGAACATGCGTGAGGGCCGACCTGAACTTGTTGAGCTTTTGTTAGGATTTGACCCCAATAAATATACTGTAACAGGGGCTGGATAAAAATGGCTGGGGGGCCAATCAGGTCCCTAAAACAGACTTTGGACATGCCTAGGCTGGTCCAGCAAGTCTCTTCTTTATCTTCTTTGGTGGTCCAGTAGAATTCTTAAATTTATTCTTTGGAGGCGAAGGTGTGGTGTTAATGTGTTTAGCCAGTCTGCAATAAGCACAGCCATATTTTCTCCATGGATAGGAAAACTGTATGGAGACGGTGACTATTTGGAAGAGAGGCACAGACACAGATACGAGGTATGCAGCAATATTTATCAACCCCCGCCACCACATTGGCTTTTCTGAAGAGAAGTGATTGTATGACACCACTTTCCCTCCCATAGGTAAACCCAGAGTTGAAAAACACCTTTGAAGAAAACGGTCTGAAATTTGTGGGCCAGGATGTCGAAGGAGAGCGAATGGAGGTGGTTGAACTGGAAGGTGAGCAACTTGAATTAGTAGCTGGGAGACTGACACTGTTGTCTTAGGCGACAACAAATATGGAAAGAGGAACTCTTCCTTCCTTGGATGGGGAGAATGAATGTCAAGTACCACAATAGTTAGTAGATACAGCAGAGAGACAGGATGATGGTACTCAGAAAAGCTTTATATTGCCTATGTACTTTGGCCTGGCCTTGCCAATTGAGAGGGCTTCAGGTAGTAACCTAACAAAGCATGTTACCACCTTCTCTCCTAGAGCATCCATTTTTTGTCGGTGTTCAGTTTCATCCAGAGTTCCTCTCCAGACCTATAAAGCCATCTCCTCCTTACTTTGGCCTCCTCCTGGCTTCTGCAGGAAGGCTCACACATTATCTACAGAAAGGATGCAGACTCTCCCCCAGGTAAGTTCAGCTGAGTGTCTTGGCTTGTGGTATAACTGCCGGCTTGGCAGTGTTTTCTGTTCAGCATGGTGCACCAATGAAAGGCTGTCTCCTATTTCTGTTAGGCATAAAAACCTTAAGGCTGTATTGTATCCTCCTTCCTTGAACTTGGGCCTACAATATCAGTAATGCCTTTGTAGAATGAAAGTGTAGGGAATTCTGCTTCTACTGTGGCTCATTAGTCTCTGGCTTAATCTCCCTCCTTAGGAAAATTGGTCTGCTTTTATCTTTTGTTGCAGCTGACATCAGTATACTGTTTGTTAAGTACTGGAGAAAACTGTTGACACATATTTTGGGTATCAGTGTCCTAAATGCTCTTTGTCATGATTAAAGCCAGTCTTCTGTTATCATTCCACTTACAAAGAAATTGCTACCAAACAATCTCTCCCCCCTTTCCCTCCCAGTGTAGTCTGGCACTATAGTACTGCCTGCCAAAGGCTTGTGGAGTTTTGCCAGACTCAGAATGACTCTTCACAAAATTGCACTCTCTAGGAGCGTTGTCTCGGAGAAGCTGCAAGGGGATGTGCACAAGGCTTACATTTTCTGATCAACATAGCGAAGAGGGAAGTCCGTTCATCTCCCCTGCATTTTGGTGTGTGTTCTAGAGATGTGGCAGTCTCCTGTATATTTCCTCTGGCAAAATGCATGCTTCCCCCCCACCCTTTGTACGCCGCACATGGTATCCTTTATTGCTAGTCTGCCCAGCACTTGAAGTTGCCCCTAGAATAAAAGGCTGCAAGAATCCTTAATGCCACCTGGTCAGTGCCTGCCCTCTGCACTAAGAAGGCCCATGCCTTTTTAACCAATTGGGCTATTTTAAAGAACAATACAAGCCACAAATTGGATGTATGAGAATCCTCAAAGGCTGGAAAGCAGGCCTGGTGTCAGCACCCGATATCCTAGAGCAACTGTTGGGACTCTGGTGGCCCAGCAAGGCCCACCAGCACTGATGTCTCTGCCCCCGCCTTCCACCCCCCGTTCGGTGATGGGGGTCCGAAAGCCATATTTATTTCATTCTGTACCCTAGAGTGACACTAGGTCAGATGCTGTGGGGCACTGTGAGAAATTAAAATGTTGCTGTTGTCACTGCCAGATTTGCTGAGGACAGGCTAGGCTACTTTGTGGAAGTCTGTCATAGGCTGTAGTTTCTGACTGGCTAGGTCATTTAGATGAGCTTGCATTTGTAACTAATGAGCCAGAGCCAGTGTGTAGAAGTGCTTATCTTTCTAATGGTCTGAATGTTACAGGGATACCTACAGCGACAGAAGCGGAAGTAGTTCACCAGACTCTGAGATCACAGAACTGAAATTCACTGCGGTGAATCATGAGTGATTGCTGGTAATGCTGTCCTTTCATGTTCTGAAGTTTCACATTATCTTTCTTCCATCTCTCCCAGTTGTGAATTTGGGCCAAATCTCTGGGCGTTTCTTAACCATGGGGGGAAAATTGTCTGGTCTTAGTGCTTTCAGATTGGGAGGAGTGGCATCTCAAAGCATAGTGCACAAATACAGGCAAAGCTAAATATACAATAAGATCTACATGTTGAACCTGGCTAGTGTGCCTTGGTAGCAGTGACATTTCCATATACATTGCCTTGGGTCCTTTTGTGGAAAGGAAAAGCAGTGTGGTGTAGTGGTTAGAGTGTCAGACTAAAGAGACAAGGAGTCAAACCCACAGTTTGCCATGAAGTTCTCTGGGTGATGTCAATCACTACCTCTCAGTGACTAACCTGTTCTGTAAAGATGTGTCAGGAGAGAAATCGGCAAACATTTTATAGTACTAAAAGCAAGCTAGCATGTAAATTGGGCCACATTCCCTTCTGAGTAACTGTTTGGGGGCCATGTCAGTGGTGGGTGGTGTCAGAAGGAAACATACATTTGACTAGTTAATACTTAGGCACACACAGAGAGTATCCTCCATTCAGACAAGAGGCAGTCAGAGTTCAAGGAGTTTCCAGCCAGGCAAAAATACTCGAGAGTGTATGGAGCATGAGCAGTGAGGGGGGTGGCTGAGGATGGTGTGTGGCCTGGGGAGACTTCCAAGGGCCAGATGGGAGAGGCTTGGGGGGTTTCTGGGCCTGAGGTTTCTCACCTGTGATGTAAATATACTAAAACAATCCATTTCTTTTATTAAAAAAATCCTTTTGTCTCTCTTATCTACCCTCTTCCCCACCATTCCAGATATGCCTAATATTCAGAAGATCCTTCATTCCTTTGATGCAATAGTTGAACTGCTGGAGTCTCTTAAATCACGTCACGTTAATTGTTTTTTGAAAAATCATGGCACACTTCTTTTGTTCATTTAAACTTATTTTGTATTCTGAGAAGCTGACACAGTGGTGCTCACCCGTGAGCTTAAAAACAAGAACTTCAGAAACAGAGCAGAGAGGGGGACAAATTCTGGATTTCTGAAGAGCCTTGATACACCAGTGTAAATGGTCAGTGTTGCCAAGGAGAATATATGTCTAGGCTTTCTGTTCACTTCCATTGTGGTTGGTTTAAATTACAGTATTTACTCTCTTGGTGGATTGTGGGAAGAGAGGTGCCACAAAGAGGAATAACTTGACACATATTGAGAAGCAAAGTGGTGAGATTTGGTGCCACCATTGAACCTTTGTTCCAGGAGATTCCTGCTGGTCAAATCTTAGGGTATTTGGTTAATTCTAATCCTAAACAACTCATATTATGCTGCAGTGATATAATTAAAATAGAGTATAACACCACCACCCCTTTTAGAAGCTTGTGATGGGCGGTTTTTGTTTTTGTCTTGCTTCCTGGACTGCCATAACTCCTTGCATCAAGGGGGCCATGTGTACAAGAAAGTGACTTTTCAGAAGCTGCCTTTGCAACTCTCATTGAGAGACTTGCCTTGGACTAAAAAGTCCGAGGCCCCACACTGCTGGGAACTTGTCATGTGACACATATGCAATATGTGGCCTGTGCTCAGCAATATATTTACTCCATCCCAAAGAAGAGGAAAAGGGCGACGCTAGGCTTCTGCAAAAGGCGGGAGCTGCATGAAACAAGTGTTTGTAATCTCCCCTTTTCCAGTGTAGGTTGTAAGCTGCCTTTCCAGCAAGCTAGGAGAAACTCTGTTACTAAAAAAATGTACCGCATATCTAAACACTTCTGAGTTTAATAAAACTTGGGGAACACATTCTGTGTGTCTGTTCTGGTTATCTATCAAACTTGAGGACTCGTTTTACACTCGCCCCCCCTTCCACCATCTTGCTGTAAGATGGTGTCTGCTTCATACCTATTTCTCCTTCCCGCTAATGGGTTACGTCAGCAACTTCCTGGATAAGTAGTTGAAGAAAAATGCTGTTTTGGAAAGCAGGGGCTAATTATAAAGATTGCTAATACACAAATTTTCCCTCCCACTTTTTCATAGCTTTACCACCATATATGGCATTTTTCCATAGGAAGCAAAATCCAGTGGTGCCATTCAGAGTTAAAATGTTAATGTGCGGTCTTGATGCCAAAGGAGAATAATGCTCTCCAGTAGCCTTGAAGAAGGTACCCAACTTAGGAATAAAACCCAGTCATGGCTCCAGAATTCTTCCTGCAAACCACCTACAAATACAAGAAACCTGTTAGACGCAAGCTCTTTATTGGACTACATTTCCTTTGTGTGCAGGTTTTGTAACTGGTTGGCTTGTGGTGGTGTTTAGCTGTCACATGAAAAAACAGCAGGTAGCATTGCTGGTATTTTGTTGCTGGAAGGCTTCCTTCTCCTTCAGCAAGCTCTCTATTTTCATCTCCAAATTCTTGATCTCCTCTGTCCATTTCTGGAGATTTATAAAAAGCAGGAGTTATTTCCTTTCAGATATTTGCAGCTGCTGCCAAATTACCTTTTTGTCCAAAATTGATCTCTGGCAGTGAGTTTTGCTAGAAGGGTAAATAGATTTGAGGGACTTGGCAGTATGTATTTCAGGCCAGGCTGTTTGGCTTGTTTCAAATGCAGCAGTAAGTGATAGCTACGGTGTGCATCATCAAGCAAAGAATAGCAATCAAAGGCCAAAGACAGCAGATAATGTGATTTATTGAATCTGCCTGCTATGGCTGCCACAATTGTCAGTCCACCAGGGATAGAATTCGTCAGTAGTGCTTTTTTGGGCTAGAACTAAGTGGGAAGCTGATCAAAAGGTTTTATAATTTTTTCCCTAATAGAATTCATATTTTGAGGCATCTATTTTAACAACAAGGTCCACTTCCTCACTGATAACCAATGGAAAGTAATTTGGTCTTAAATGTTTTAAAGGTCATTATTATTTATTATTAAATTTATATACCTCCCTATACCCTCAGGGCAGTTCACAAGTCAGTTCTTATTCTCCCCTAGCTCCAGTGTAACATTTTCTGAAGAAAGCAGTGAAGGTGCCCGTCTGTGGCTAAACTTTCCCTACGCCTATTGAGCCAAGCTGCAAATAATTTTGACAAAATAAAAACTCCCCCACTCTGCTGCCACGTATCAAAATCCAGACCCAAAGTGACACACAAAAATCCACTTAGGGATTTCCTCTCTGCCTTTCATTTCAGCAGCCTAACTGAGAAAGGGGTGGGGTGGGGGGGAGAAAGCATTTTTGTTGTAGAACACAGGAAAGTGCTTTATACTGAATCAGACCATTGGTCCACCCTTCAGTATTCTCTACACTGGCTGGTAGCTGCTCTTCAGGGTTGCAGGCAGGGGAGATGTCAGAAGTTGAGCATGCATGCAAGGCAAATGATTATCACTGAGCTATGGCCCTCCCCCCATTTAACAATGGTAACAATTGTTAAAACAATTGGGGAAGCCTTGCATATCACTTGGAGATAGACCAGTAGATTTCAGTCCTGCTAGGTAAAGGTAAAGGGACCCCGACCATTAGGTCCAGTCGTAACCGACTCTGGGGTTGCAGCGCTCATCTCGCTTTATTGGCCGAGGGAGCCGGCGTACAGCTTCCAGGTCATGTGGCCAGCATGACTAAGCCGCTTCTGGTGAACCAGAGCAGCGCACGGAAACACCGTTTACCTTCCCTCAGGAGCGGTACCTATTTATCTACTTGCACTTTGACGTGCTTTCGAACTGCTAGGTTGGCAGGAGCTGGGACCGAGCAACGAGAGCTCACCCCGTTGCAGGGATTCGAATCGCCGACCTTCTGATCGGCAAGTCCTAGGCTCTGTGGTTTAACCCACAGCGCCACCTGTGTCCCGTCTTCAATCCTGCTAGGCTGTGCAAAAACTGAAAATTACCTGCCGGCACCACTCTTGAATGGCGCTACCAGTAAGGGGGCCCTGAATACTACCTTCTCGTCGCATGTATACTTCCCCTTGGTCTGTTTCATAAAGGAGCGGCTTGTTCAGCTTTGGAGGATGAACACTTAGTCGAATAACTTTCAGGAAGATGCCAGTGTCTTCGGCTTTGATAACTGGGATGAAGCTCAGTGTGTAGTCCGATGGGAAAACCTGCGGTTTGAAACCTTTCAAAAGAGAATCTATGAGCAGCCGGATCCTGTCTTCATCTTTGTGGTCACACCTGACTCCACGTACCATGCCGTTATCCTCAACCCCCACAAAAAGGCTGCCACCTTCACTGTTGAGAAATGCGCACATATACTTCCGCACATGATGTTTTAGGGTACCTGCCAGATATTCCCCACTTCCACGTTTGAATTCCACGTTCCGGGTTTCGCTGCCCATGGAAGCTCCATAGAATAGGCACTCTTTCCCTACGATCGCTCTCTGGACAATGGCACTGTCTGAGCGGGTGCCGCTCAGAAAGGCCTCTGGCCGTTCTGCCATACAGGAGTATTGAGGAAACTTTCTGATGCGGTTGAGATGGTTTTCGTTTAGAATCAACTTCCTGCTTTTCTCATACCCTTGCCCTCCCAGAAAAGTTTCTGAGCTGCTGCCAACAGAGTCACTCTGCAGACATGACAAGGAAAAAACAGGTAAGGGCAAATGCCATGGAGATGGGCTATAGCAAATACAATTCTTTGGGGGTGGGGGGAGGTAGCGTCATTTAAACTAGGAAGCTATTTGGATAATGGCTATAACATACAAACCCCTTTAACAACCCTCTCCCTTCCTGTCTCACACTGATAGTGGGAGTTAGACAACTCATCATCTGAGACATGCAAAATAGGGCAATAGGGACTGACTCTGGTAGGGGCTGAGCTAAAGGAAGTGCGTATATCTAGTAACTAAACAAGTTGACCGGGGTGATTATTAAACAGTCATTGGAAGTTTGAAAGTGAAATCTGGGGTGTTTGCCTTAGATGTTTGACTGTAGAAACTATCAAAAAAATGGGAATGTAGATGATTAATTTATTTCCTTTCACTGCTCGGATCAGTATCAAGAAATGTAATGTACAGTACTCTGAAGGTCTAATGAATATTCTCTTTTGTAGGAAACCCAGCCGGATGGGCGGGGTATATTTTTTAAAAAATTATTATTATTATTATTTTCTTTCAGTGTTCCCATTGCTGGAGCCTTACCTCTCTGTTACCTTTGGCATGAAATGCAAATGTCTTGCCATGTCCCACGACGAGATTCTTCCCTTTCTTCACAAGCTCCTTGGTAAGCTCCGACTCTGTCTCAGAGGCAAGTAGCAGCTGCTTTATGACATGCTCCAAGCTGGAGTCTGTGGCTACCTGGATAAAGGCATAGGCTTGCCTGCGTTTCTTTACCACTTCAATGTTGTGTCTCTGGAGGGTGACGCTAGCCATGCCCAAGACGTCCTTGAGCATGCTGCAGAGAACTTCACGGGAATACTTGGGGTTCAGGTTGCCAACGTAGAGAACATAGGGGCGTGCCTGCCCAGAATCTTCTTCATCTTCTACCTCCTCCTCAGCTTTCGCCTCTGTCAAAGACTGCTCTGTGGCCTGGTCAACGTTGCCAACTGGTAATGCACATTCTACTATGATCTCTGGAATGGTTGTTGCTTCCATTTGCAGACCTAAAAAATGGTCTGAAAAATTCTAGAAGCGGGATTGGTGGTAGTTGCTCTTATTCCTCATTGGGGTATAGCTGGCTGGTGTACAGGAGGCCAGACTGCCTTGCTAATTCTATGCTGAACTTACTCTTATTACTTAGCACATGACTGAAGTATGGTCACTAGTTTCTGGCTTGTTTCTGTGGTCGATGAAGAAACGGGGAGCTACAGGAACTGTGGCGGAAAAGGCCTTGGCATGGTTTCAAAGCCTACGGGGGAAAAGAACCCACAATAAACCTGAATTTTGCTTCTAGCAGTCATTATGTCGTCTGGAGGCAAGGATTGCAACCTGCCAGTAGGCAGCTGCTTTTCCTTGGCCCTCTTTTATATAGAGTAGGTCAATGAGACTTAAGAACATAATTGCCTTGCTGGGTTCAACCCAAGGTTCATATATCCCAGCACTCTAATTCCAAAAGTGGCCAGAAGATGCACTTAAAAGCTCACAAGAGCAGGTGCCATTATTAATCTTCAGCATGTGGTCCCTGGCTGCATGCTGCTTCTGTACCAAGAGGTTTTATTTACCTACAGTGGCTAATATTCATGGAGACAAGGTCTGTGTCCATCAATGGCTAATCCTTTTGAAAAAGCCACCCCAGCAAGTGGCCATTACAGTATCTTTCAGTATAAATGATGTTGAGAATTATCCCTACTGATTGCAAATTAGCCTGATTGGATACTAAGTTCTAGCAATGTATGAGAGGCAGAACATTCTCTCTATCCATTTATAAACCTCTGCCAGAGTTAATTTTTTGCCCAGGGATAACTTCTATTTCCCTACCCTCTGCAGCATCCTCAAAAATCAAGTTACCATGGAAGGAGGTGGTGCTCATGCTGGACTGAACAGGTTTTTGTTGTTCAGAAGCCCTGCTGCTTCCAGGTAGGCCCTTCTTTGGCCTGTCCCCTCTGAGTCTCTTTAATAGAGCTTAAATTGTGAGGTCATAGATGCCCTTGCTACTTACAGTTCTAACCTGTGTTCACTTGGAGGCTTCCTATGGACAAGCAGTACTTGCTCACCTAAAGGAAGATGGACACAACTGCTTCCAATTTGAAGCTTAAATACCACAGCAAGGTTTCAAGATACCAGCAATAGGAAGGCATTAGAATTGCAGTGAGGAAATACCCGGATCGCAGCAACTGAGGGTGTGTGTGTGTGTGTCAGTGGTAGGGAACCCAAGTCTTAGGGGTTAAATGCAGCACTCCAGTCTGTTCCCACTGGTCCTTGACACTCTCCCCAGGTCACACCTTTTCATGATCCATGGCCCCCTTGAGTGTTTTTGCCCAGCTGGAATGTGTCACTGAATAGTGATATAAATGCTTTTGGTTTTACCTGGATTGAAAATTGAACAATGCATGTGCAGAAATCTCCTTTCGAGTTCTGCATTGCTGGAAAGCTGCCTACCATACATACAAAAGGTACAAGTTACCCTAACCCTTACCTGTGTATGCATTTCAGTTGTGCTAGATCATATTTAAATGCATTTAACGTGTAAATGGAAGATTCTCTTGTAGGGAATGAGAAAAACAGGGTTGCAAGTGGAAAACTTGGTAGTGGTCTTTACTGCCTCCATCTCAGACTCTGTTGTTAAGGGTGTGGGGATGGAATGATGTTTCTCTCAGCTTTTCCTGATAAGCCCAGAGACCCAGCACTGATTTAGGATGGATGAATCCCTGGCCCCACTCTTTTGTAGTGTCTTAAGTTGTTCATGTAATCAATCAGCGGAGAATCACAGCACAGCTCCACCTATCCTATTTCCCCCCACTCTTTTATTTATAAACAAAATCAACAGAATAAGTGCAGAAAAGAATATTGGCAGCCCCTTGCCCCCCGTTACCTGCAGCAGGCAGTGCTCACAGAAATGGTATTCTGCAGCCAGGCAGTGATGGCAGACAGAGGTAACCACCCCCCTCCCACCAAAGAGAGCTACACCAGACAACCCAAAATACCGGCCGAGTCACACTAATACCCCATTGCACTGCAGTGAGCTCTGGCTCCTTCCTAGAAGTGGCTTATTGCCTATGAATTTTGATTGCTTGGGGTTTTTTTATTTTTTGCATTATCAATTTAGGTTGTCTCTAATCCCTCCTCCTGGGCTAGTCTGAAATCACTCTTCCGCAAGAGCCTGGCATCCACTGGAAGGGTAGCAAGTTAGGAAGAGAGAAGTGCCTACAAGGAGATGCACCTTAAAGCTGCCCTTCCTCACTTTATTAGTGTAGGGCAGGAAACAGCCAAGCACAACTGAATCTCAAGGTCCATTTGTCCTCATCCCAAAGGGTAAGTCGCTAAGGCTACTCTCCAGAAAGTGGAGGAAAGGAAACACACACTACTTTGCTTTCTCAAAGCAAAGGAGGTTTCAGTCTAGGACCTGGAGAGGGGCAGAGCTTTGGGGAACCAGCTTAACCACCTTCTTTTCCCATTCTCATTGGCCAGCAGCAAAAAAAAGCCCTCTACTATGAGACAACGCAGGCCACTGCCCAAGTGCCATAAAAAATAAATACATTAAAACGTTTTTCAGAATACATACAAACAAAACAATTCATGTTCCCAATTTGAGTTTGGGAAGGACAAACCATCTAAATATACCTGTTTCCCATCCATCTGCTATCCCACACACTTGGTCAGGTAGCTACAACTGAACAGCTCTGACAGACTGGAGGGGTAAGTTGAACGGTACCGTTGTGGAATAAGAAACATTTGATTCCTCAGAAAAAAGGTTAAAACAGTTGCTATTCCCATAGCAAGTAGAAAAAACATTTCAGGATCTTAGTGGGGGGAAAGCTTGAGTTGTTCAGCTGTGTGCTCTGTGACACTATGATAAGGGAACCTACATTTTCCTCCCTCTCCATTCTTCCCAGCTCACTTAGAGAGCTGCATGGCGATATCAACACAGATCCACTGCTGTGCCCTACCACGATCATCTTCTCCTCCTTGTTCCAAATAAATATTAGAGCTTTCTGCCCACATGCCAGCAACTCAGTAAAACTGCTTGAGACCTCCATGGAGGAAAAGGCTGTAACAGCACCAAGTGAAGAGATGGCAGGGTGGCGTGTCCTCTGCCTTACCCACCCACCCCTGCCACCCAAGGGAGTAAACAATCTGGTTAGCAGCAGCTGCTTGTCACATGCCAGAGCTGGATTCTCACAGTCAATCTGTCCTGTATGGCACAGAAAAAGGGAACACCACCTGGCACTGCCAACTTCAAGTCCAAACCGTACTCTTCATAAGGCATGAAGGGGATTCTTGAGGAGGGCAGCAAAAGAAGGCAGGGCATCTGAAAAGTAAGAAGGGCCAAAACAACCATATCCGACATGAGTGTGGCTCTGCCAGAGTGCCACACACATACACACAGGGAGAAGCATATTCTTCCTTACAAGCTGGACTGCGGTCCCAAAACGCCATCAGCAGAAAATAGAGGAAGCATTCATCCCTTTGTACCAACAAGCCAAGTCTCATTTGATTGATAGGGGTGCCCAGGGTCTTCCTCCAGGAAACCACCTCCTGTCTGCTGGCGAAGGTGTCCTCATAGTGCTGAGATGTGTCGGGCAAGGAATGTAGGCACGCATACCTGCCTGCGTGGGGAGTTGAGAGCGCCACTTTGGCCAAGACTGCACCAGGAGGATTCTTTTTCAGAACTTGCCCTGCTTTAACTTGTCAATGTGGTAGGTGAGTTTCAGTGCTGGCCCAAGCTTCAAGCCCATGTACTTCATCATCATATCGCTGCGCAACAAGAGCAAGGCCTTGCCGTCAATCTCCTGGAAACACAGAACAGAGAGAACCACATTTGTCTGGCCAAGCCTCTTAACAGCAAGATAATGCCTCGACATGGCCAGAAGCAAAACTTTAAAGAGACGGGTGGGGCTAGAACTAGTTTGAGATAATGCTATGGTTGGGCTGATGGACTTTTCAACATTACTTGTATAGAAGATGGAACTTGTTCCAGGCACTGCTTTTTCAAAGCTGTAAGGCACTATGGCATAACAAGCAGCACATACCAAAATCTCAGCTGTACAACCTTTAAAGCAGGCCTGGGGAATGCGTGGCCTGCCAGATGTTACTGGACTACAACTCCCATCATCCCTGAGCAGTGGTCATCATGGCTGAGGGAATGGAGTCCAACAACCTCTGGAGATCCGCACATTCCCCACTCCTGCAGTAGGATATTGAGACTATGTGGCTGCACATCTAGATATACACAGTGTTGTTGCAGGCTAGCAACAAAGTGAGGCAATAGCTTGGTGGTAGAGGACATGTTTTGCATGCAGAATGTTCCAGGTTCAATCCATGGTCTTTCTAGTTAAAAGACTCAGTTAGCAGGTGATAGGTAACACTGCTCTTTGCCGAAGACCCTGGAGAGCTGCTGCCAGTCAGAGTTGGCAAAACTGGGCTAGATGGACCAATGGTTTGATTAAATATAAGGCAGCTTCCTATGTTTCTATGTTCCAGCTCCAGCCCTGCTCCCAACACTACAATTGTCTAAAGCAGGCACGGGGAACAAGTGACGGGACTCCCATTTCCCAACGTACCTGATTTTGCAAAGTGATGGAAACTGAAGTCAATAACATCTGGAAGGACACCCATTCTATTTCTATTCCAAAAGATGAAAAGGGTGGTCTTCCCTGTCTAAAGCCAGTATAGCTATTTGGGGAAAATCTGACATGTAGCAATTTTTTGTTCCTCCCCACAACCCAACTGCTCTATACCAAAGGCAGTTATGCCCTTTTTGCATATACATAAATAAATCCAAATTCTGCAAGCACAGAAGCTGTTTGGCACAATTCTGCTTTTGCTAAAAACAGGGAAGACAACAACTTCTGTAAGTCACTGGATATCTTTTTCAGTCTTGCTCAAATACTTTAAAGGCTGAATTGCATTGTTGGGTTGAAAGGAGAGATTGTCAGGGAGCCACATCTGAAAGCCCAGACAAGGTTTCATGCTGGCTATCAGCTAGTGTCAACCTTGCCTGCTTTCTCTCTCTCTCCTGACAATGCCCGCCACCAGCATTTTACCTCATCTCCCTCCCCTTCTTGAACTGTATAGGTCTGCTTCACCAGCACATACTCACATGAATAAAAATGAAATCTAAGATGATGCTATCACCAGACTTGGGGGGAGGGAGATTTCACGGGAGCCTTTTATGTACTGTGGGAACAAGTCTTGCCTCAACTCTCCCCTCCAATCTACGGTGGGGATGTTTTGTTTATTCCTTGAACCAAATATGTGAAATCCCAGGAGGCCCCAGGGGAAGCAGAAAGATCCTTATTAGATCCCAGCTATTAGTCACCTGCTAAAAGGTGCACAGAGGAGAATGGAAATGAGAGGGCTGCACTCAGTTCAATAAAATAGCTCACTATTCCTGAGATCAGTTGCCAACTCAGTGCCACCAGGACTGTTACTACTTCACAGTTTTACAACATTTTAACCGTGCAAAAGCTGGCATTCTGCCCAGTCAGGTATGTTGCTTTCAATAGGGCAGTTGCACAGATCTGCACAAGACGTGCAAACCAAGATGGCTGTCATACAATACTTGTGAAGCTGAGCCCTCAGTGAGACACATGCAGCAGAGATGATCTCTTGTGCTTTGGTCTTTGCTCTACATCTGATGATCAAGCACATCCACCCTGCTGGAGCTTTGCTTCCTCTGACTAGACAAGGACCAAAGCTTCCCAAGGGGAAAGGCACTTGGTACAAAGGAAGTTTGGTAAAAAGTAAGGCTTCTTTGTTAAAGACTGCCTTATGGTGGCTGTGAGTGCTTGTGCCATGATTCTTGGAGCAGCAGGAGAGAGTGACTGTGAAAGAGACACCCCCCCCCCCACAAATCACCCATGGTGTTGGTTATATTTACATGCTTTCGGAAGAGGTCTGCATGGGGTCCCAGTTGTGGGTCAGCCTCCCTCACAAACTGCATGACATCTTCCACTGTCCAGCCAGATGGGTCTCGGCTGCCCAGCCGTGAGGTGTCTCGAGGAGCAAGGTATCTGTCAGAGCCTAGAGGGAACAACGGAAACAAATCAACAAAACCCAAACACATTTGTGTCCTGGCATGACAGGATACTGCAGGGCTCATGATTTTTCCAGATGGTCTTTTTTCAAAAGACTGCCACCCGTTTTGTCAGTGTTAGTTTGCAAAGAGCCACTTTCACGTGAACAATGCTGCATGTCACTAGCTGCCCCCTTCTCTTCCATCATGCATGGGAAATAATACATTGCATGGAAACACAAGAATGGAGCTAGGGATACTTCATTAGAGAGAAGAGATGTTCTAATTGCCCTTACCCCCGGCACTAAGTCTATGCAAGGCAGAGGTACTGCACTGAGAAAGACTGGAGGGCTGGTGAAGGTGCCTGTATCCTTGAAGTCTGTAGTCTCTTGAATTCCTGCTGGGACTGGATGCACTGACAGCATTCAAGGCGGAGTCCATGGGGTCTAGGCGTGGCTCCAAGGGACCTGGCAGGCCATCACTCAAAACAAACGTTTCACCTGGAAGACATACAACCAACTAATGAGAGAAGTGCAGCCACCAGCCACAATGCTGCAAAGTACGCAGAACATCCAAACCACAGAAACAGCCAGCTTCTGCCCAGACAGAAAATCAGGAAAAGAACAAAGGGAAGGAGGAGGGGTAATCACTTTGCTCACAACTGAGTTCCAGTCCTTTTGGTGGCCTCCCCTTCTCTGCCAGTTTCATTCACTAATCCAAACTTATTGCTACTTACATTTCATCATTTAGTTTGAGCATCATAAAAAAAGTTAGCAGGGGTAGGGAAGAGAACTCTTTCCAGCTCAAAGGCCGCATCCCCTTTGAGTCAATCTTCCAGGGGCTGTGGAAGGCACAGTGTTCGGAACAATTGCTACCATACCCCATAAGAGGAAGAGACATGGTAGTGATAGGTGACTCCCTACTGAGGCGGACAGCGGCAGCAGTGTGCAGTGATAACAGGATGTCCTGGGAGGTGTGCCGTTTTCCAGGCACAACGATTCACAATGTGACAGAGGTTGCTGAGTTTGATAAGCCCACTGAACAAAACTTTTTCCTTCTGATTCATTTGGGTACAAGCGATACTGCCAGACACAGCCTTTGACATTCAGCAAGGGACTATAAAACTCTGGGTAGGACGCTGAAGGGCCATAGGGCACTGGCGGTCTTTTCATCACTCTTTCCTGTTGACGGTCATGGGTCAGGGAGAGGACAATACTAGAAGTAAACCTCTGGCTGCACAGGTGGTGTCATCAGGAAAGGTTTAGCTTCTTGACCATGGTCTCCACTTCCTGGAGGAAGGACTTCTGGCAAGAGATGGGTTACACCTCACAGTGGTTGGTAAGAATGTGTTTGTTAAGAGTCTTGCAAACCTGATATGGAGAGTTTTAAACTAAATCCTGTGGGCAGATGGGTGGGGGAGACAATACTACAGGTGACAGAGGGAAACCTTTACCACAATGATAAAAAAGTGATCTTTCTGTACTCCAAGCTGTTTGCTACTAAACTCGGTGTACATGAAGTGCAGTCCAAATGATCCCTCAGCATCTGGGCTGGATTCACTGTACCAGTTATGTCTGTGGCAGCCTTGGGCAAGGACCTATGTTTGTGCAACAGGGCTTTCCCCCATCTCTCCACCCTGTGTGTCCCTGCAATGAGTTCAAGGTAGTGTTTGGGAGAACCCCCAGAACAACATGGGGGTGGAGTGAGGATAAAGGTAAAGGTACCCCTGCCCGTACGGGCCAGTCGTGTCCGACTCTGGGGTTGCGCGCCCATCTCGCTTAAGAGGCCGGAGGCCAGCGCTGTCCGAAGACACTTCCGGGTCATGTGGCCAGCGTGACGAAGCTGCTCTGGCGAGCCGGCACCAGCGCAGCACACGGAAACGCCGTTTCCCGTCCCTATTTATCTACTTGCACCCGGGGGTGCTTTCGAACTGCTAGGTTGGCAGGCGCTGGGACCGAGCAACGGGAGCGCACCCCGCTGCGGGGTTTCGAACCGCCGACCTGACGATCGGCAAGTCCTAGGCGCTGAGGTTTTACCCACAGCGCCACCCGCGTCCTTGGGGTGAGGATAGTGAGGTGGAATTGTTCCATCTGGCAAGTTGAAACGCTTGTGCAGACTGAATGACTGAAGAGTGTGATGCAGAATTCCACCCTCTGTCTGCCTGCTTTTCCTGTGAAATCCTATCATTAGAAATGAACTTCACTGAGAGTGCAACAGGCTCAGTATCTGCATTCGTGAATAATTCCTAGCAGGCTCTTGCAAGGGTTAAACCTGGACTGCAGACTGGAAAAAAGGTAGAAGGGCCTTGTCCATTCTCTACTGCATGAGTGTGGAACCACTGGTCCTCCATATGTAGCTGGACCACAACTCCCATCATCCTTTACCACTGGTCATGTTGACTGGGGCTGACAGGAGCTGGAGTCCCATAACATCTGGACCGCCCCAGCCCCGCCCCCTCTACTGTATTGATAATCCCACAGCATCATTGAGCTGAACAATGTTTTCAGGAATATTGTTCCAAGGGCAGTATACCTGGGGAACAGTACCAGTAGGATGGCAGATGTAGGGTCACGCAACAGGACATTACAGATGGTCTCCCACCTACAGTGCCAACTCTTGCCAGAAAGAGAAAGAAACTTCCATAAGATGCCAGCTGGGTCATAACAAGGGCCCATCGTGCACATCATTGTCCAGGAAGCCCATAGGCAGGACATGAAAGCAATAGCCCTCTTGTGCTATTGTTCCCCAGCAACTGGCATTCAGCAGTATGTTACTTCTGAACATATGGATAGACCTGTTCTCGATGAATCTGTCTAATACACTTTTAAAACCATCAAAACTATATAATAATAAAAGCTATAATAATCATAAGGGGTTACAGTAGATTCAGCTCCAATTGCTACTCAAGGATTATAAAGCTCTTTGCAAGCCAAATTCCAGCAGCTCCATACTTGCATGCATTTGCTGTGAGGAACAAAACAGTATGGAGCTAGGGAAAGATTCCAGCTCCAAAGTGTGATGCCAAACAAAACTTATTGTGGAAAGAAGTCATGTTGTAAACATTGCATTTGGATTGTCTGAAGACAACTGGATAATTGTATTGTGTATAAGAAAAAGCAGGCGGCTTCAGGAAATGTAGAGACTGCTTGAAGGGATGGAAAGAAACTCCCCTTTCCCCTGTCTTGACTTTCTCAAAATTCAGTAAGAGCTGGTCAGAAAAAATGGAGAATGAAGTTAATGGAATACGCAGAACTTGATAAACTAACAGGAAGGATCCGAGGCCTACGAGACCACAGATTCACTGAAGACTGGAGTAAATTTGTAGACTATTTGAAAAGTATTTGCGATGAACAATTAACGTTTGTAGGTTTGCAAGAGGCTCTGTGAAAATAATATTAGAAATATTGTAAAAAAGGGAATAAGAGGGAGAAGGTATTTAATAAAAGGCAATATTAGATTAAGAAATGCGGAAGAAGGACTAAAACGGAGGATTTGCAGAAGAGCTGAGGGAACTCCAAAAAATGTATTTGTGAAAAATTGTGTTGTGTGTTTTTATATTTTTGTATTGTAAAATGAATAAAAAATAATTCAAAAAAAAAAAAGCTGGTCAGAAAAGTCTGGGGGGCCAGGAGTGGTTTCAGCAACTCAAATATGTGGGGTTGGGTTGCTTCACCCCTCAATGGTGCGCACAGCTAACAGGGACCAAGCAGGCTGTTCAATCCAGCACTGGAAGGTGCGGAAGGGAGGTACTTCCCTTTCCCTGAAACACTACCTTCAATCCTAATTGTAGATTCAAGAATAGACATAGAAAGGGCAGGAAGTTACTGTCTTGATAGCCCTAAATCAACATTTGCCAATCTGATGTTTTTCAGATGTTTTGAACTACAACTCCCATCAGCCTCAGTCAGAACAGCCATGCTGGTGGGGGGTGGAATCTGTAATCTAAAGTATCTGGAGACCACCAAGTTGGCAAAAGCTACCTTAAACAATGAATGACCAGGATAGAAGCATGCTAGATTTGGAGCTGCTATATGTCTTCATACATCTCCATCAACCTATGCTGCTGATTCATAATTAATATTAACAGCCAGGCTGGGAAAAAGATGCTGTGCTCACCTTCCAAAGGGTGATGGTCATTCTTTGGTAACTTGGGGGAGAGAGCACTGTATGGAGGGGAATCTTGTAAATATCTCTTTGCACCCCGTCCTGGTCCCAGTAGAGAGACATCTAACGAAATGCTCCTGTCTAGAAAGAGAGAACAAGCCCTGCTTAGGATCAGAATCTTCCTTGGGAATCAGCCCTGCCCAAGATCACCAGAACTTCCACTATGCGTGGAAGCCTGTACCTCAGTCAACAGACATCAGAGTTGCAAACTGCACCAATGTTTTGGAATCTAGTTGGTTCAAAATAAATAATACCTGCCAGCACTTTGGTCCATTCAATAAAGGAAGGCTTATGAAAGGGACAGTGGCACTTCACATACTGTTCTCAAGCCATTCTTTTACCTTTTAAGCGTGTGCGCAATTTAGGAAAAGAAATGATATTACTTCAGTTCTTCTGAATGTGAAACTGCTGAACATTTTTAATCAAGGCTCAAATTTTTCACAGCACTGTTTTAATAGACCACAGAGACCTAGGAGTTTTGGAGTACATTGTCAGCAATATGCTGATGACACACAGCTCTACTCCTTTACAACTGCAGGTGTGGCAGTAGATGCGCTGGACGGTGCTTTTCAAAATGGTTCTCAAATATATTGGCTGACTGTAGGGAACCTGGGTGTCTTAGTTTCAGTGAGCATGACTAAAAGTGTGAAGTTAGTTCACGTCTATGTATGACATTTCTGAACAGCGGTAGGGTGCAACCTGAAAAAACTGAGTGTTCAAACTCACAGAAATAGATACAGCCCGTCCATTATATCATTAGCACATTTTCTTTTGCACAATGCTGACTTCTATGTGTCAAATTCCTAAAGATAGAAACCACCCAGTGACATATGGGACAATTAGCACAGGGAAAAGAATAATTATGTCTAGCCCTAAGCCTTGCTTTTTTTTGCCAGTGCCTGCATATCTATCTATCTATCTATCTATCTATCATCTGTCTATCTATCTATCTGACAGTAACCTCTATCTCCACCTTTCCAAGTAACCAATGAATTACCATGGCAGTTCTGAGACATGGTGACTGGCCAGCAGAACTTGTCTCATGTAACTCTTCCGGATGGCTCTTGTTATGCAGACTGCAAGCACCATTCAGCAAAAGACCTAGTTCCTGAATGGGTGATGGGTGTTTTGGGGATCCAGAGAGTAGCAGATACATAGGAAAGCCATTCAAACCCTTGTAATGCTTCACAGTAATCTAAGGCCACCACTACGTTTATAGGTTTACCATAATGTATTCAGAGCACAGAATCTGAGGTGTCTCATCACACAGTGCACCCAGCCCTGCTTACAAAGGAAGTGCTCTTAAACACTTCCAGTTCTTTGTCAGGGGAAATAAAAAGTTTAATGAAACTTTCGTTTCAAATTTTGGAGTAGTGTACAAAAGAGGCAGCCTGCAGGCAGAATGAACCCAAGAAAAAACACACACCCCAAAAGGCATTTGCCCAGAGAATAAATATATCTGTGATATTGCATTTTGTTTGGTAAAACCTTCCCAATCTGCAGAGATATACTGGAACAACTCTTAGCCCCAACTCCTACCTGGTAGGTACCTGTCGTGGTCGTACTCGCGTGAGTGCTGCACATGATGCTGAGTAAATGGCTGGTTCCCAAAGAGGTTGTCGCTACGTAGGTTGTGGCAGAGTTTCTCAAGGAAGCGGAGGACATAGGTGATGCTGTTGACTGCTGGCAAGGTCAGAGTATGCTGCTCATGATCAAACACAGCTGGCGGAGGAAAGAGAACAAAGACAAATTATAAAAGTCTAACAGGTTGTCTGGGATTGCTGGATCACATAGACCCCTCCTGCAATTCAGTTTACTGAATGACTAGAACCACAACTTTTCCTGGCTTCCACTAGACTAAGCACAAGCTAGCAATTATGGAAGCAGCAATCTTTATGAAATAACTGCAGATTTTACCTACCTACCTACCTACCTACCTACCTACCTACCTCTGGAGCATTGTCTGCATGGAAAGCAGAGAGATGGGTTTCGCAAAATACTTATGAGAACAACTGCCTTCTGAAATATCAAACACAAATATTTAAATCTTGCTTTTTGAGGATTACAAACACCTTCACAATGTGAAGCTGCAGCAACTGTAGATGAATCTACCATGCCTTAGATGAGTAAATACAATGGGTGGCATTCAAAGACGTTTTACTCAGATCCACTGAAATTAGCGAACATAGCTAAATTAGGTCTGTTAATTTCAACACGTCTAGACTCGAAAATTTAATTGAATACCACTCAATTATAGTATTCCAATTTACTTTTTGAACTAATAGAACTGATTCCATCAGGGGTCTGCTTTTAATTGATTATTTTAGATTTTCAGGTTAAATGAAATCAAGCAAACACCTGCTTTTATTTAATGTTCAGTGGCTGGTGGTTTTATGGATTATATTTACATTGCTTTATTATTGCATTGCAAACCACCCTGTGATCCTGTTTGGATGAAAGGTGATCTATAAGTAAAGTAAGTACATGAGCATCCATGAAGGAGGAGGTCCCCTCTCCCAGATAACTTCCAGATTCCCAGATTTCTTTCTTCTGCTTCTTCTTTTTAAAGCTTTTGTAAAACTTGAGTTATAAGGCAAAATGTGAAGGCACAATTCTCCTCAATTTTTGTGAGAAACTAGCCTTCTCCTTTCATTGTTGTTTTTTAAAAAATTTTTTATTGAATTTTACAATATTAAACCATATAACAGAATATAACTTTTATCATATAAAAATACCCCTTCCCATGACTTCCCTCAACTTCCCCTTCAGGTTCTTAAAATATTTACTACTACTGCTTAATTGTTGTCTTATTTTTATGATCTTATATCTAACTGCTCTTATTTTCTTATCGATTTTATACCGAATTTTCTTTCATAATTACATCTTACACTCAATTATATTTCATATTATTGTTTCTTGATCTTTGAACTTGTTTTCTTAGTTGGATGTGTTTAATCAAACCCTGCCACTGACTCCTTTCATTGTTTCACTTTGCCCACACCCCCTGGAATAACTGCTGTAGCCATTCATGATTAAGTATAAAATAAGAAAGTAGATCCACCAACTTCAAGAGAGACTGCACAAGAGTGTGGGAAGAAAAGGAATTCCTACTGCCTCAAAGGGAAAAAACAGCAACACACCTCTTGGTGCACGTTTTGCTGCTTTAAATACTTGCAATGTACCCCAGCAAGAGTGGGAAAATGACCCTGGCCTAATGAAGCCAATGGAGCCACACTGCAGTTGACTGTCTTTTCTTGCATACATTGAGATAGTCTTGAGAACACGACAACTGGGCTGTAACTTGTAGAAGTGTTCCCCTGGAGGACACTGTTCAAAACAGGGTAGGGCAGGCAGACCTTACCTGAAATGATCTCGCCTCCATGGCCTTGCTTCAGGAATGAGAAGACAGTATGCTGATGATAAGCACAATCAATGCAAGCTTGGACTGCCTGCTGCAGCACCACAGATGCTCGAGCTGGTCCAAAATGGTCAGGCAGCTGCTGGACTTTCTTTTTGTCCAGGTGAGGCCCAGTGCTACCATTCTTATTCAAGTAGATGCAAACTGTGAGGGGGAAAGGCAGAAGCCTTTAATAACTGGACTCTGGTTTGCCTGTAACTGACTGCGCAGTTACTAACTTGGTAGGTCTGCTCCACTGAAAAAATCACTTGACGTTCCGAACAGCTTCCTTCCAGAGTCAGACAGTTCCCAAACCCTTTTACCCCAAGGGCCAATTATCTAGCTGGTCTAAATACCGGAGGACCGATTTTGATGCTGCATCAAAAGGCTCCCATCACAGAACAGTATTTTTTAAAATGTGACTGTAAAATGAAACTGAGCAATTTCCCCCTCTTAAGTCTTCCACTCCCTCCACCAGTATAGACAGAAATGGAAGGGGTCATATATATGTATTACCAGCTTTAGTTTGTATATTACCTTAAAATAACTTCCTTCTAATTCCTGCCCCCCATAAAGAAATATTGCACCCAAGAAAGAGGATGAAATGCATTCCGCACCTGTAGGGGCCTGCATAGCAGAGCTAGGGATGGTTGCTGCATCCTGTGGTACTGTACTAGTGTCAGGTTCGGGAGTACTTGTTGTAGGGGAGGTTGGGGCTGGATTTAGTAAAGTTCGAGGTTTTCTCTGCAAAAAAAAAGGAAAGAGATAATATTAATAAACTTTAAATTAAAAAAAAATCATTCTAAACAGGCAAAAGGAAAAAACCAAAGTGGATAACATGGCACTGAGGACCTAATTTCAAGGAAGCCAGGAGGAAATGGTGCATGAGGTGGGGGGGGGGAATAACTTGAGATAATAGCAACAAGTAAGGGGGCCTGAACAATTCAGTTACAAATGATAATGGGACAGGTATTTTAAAATGACAAACTTTATTAGTTTGTTACATTTCCATCCTGCCCACCCTCTGAAGAGCTCAAAAGCAACCTCCCATCCAGGTACTAGTCAGACCAACACCTTCGTTTTAGAAATGAAATGGGTACTTTCAGACCTCAGTTGCACCTCTAGCCAGCTTGAAATTGTACTGAAGATGGAAAGTTGCATTGGACTACTTGTGCTTCTAGCCCAGCAATCTGGGGTCTCTCAGATGATGACATTCCCATTACTTGATATTGGATGCTTTTAAATGGAAATGAACGTAGGATGTTCAAGAAATCATGTGATCAACAACCGAACTATGACCCCCCCAATACCTGATTCTACAGATCTATTTGCTTGAATAGTTTTTGAAAGGTACCTAAGTAGAACTGCTCCTAGTTGAGGAAGCACACACTAACTGTAAAGTCATGAATACACACACACCTTACTGCCAGGCTTTGGTCCCCTCTTCTTGGGGAATTTCAAAGGCTCCACAGCTTTGGAGGGGGTTGGAGTGGAGTGGTTGGTCAGAGCCTTGGGCGTCCGGCCTCGCTTACGACCAGGTTTGCGTCCCCTTTGTCCAGGCTGATGTTCCAGGAGAGTCTTTGTGCCACTGTGCATGCTGCCTTTTTCAGAGATCACATCAGGCACAGGGGGGAATGGGCTCTTTGGAATCACCACTACCACAAAAAAGGAGAGAGAAGACCATCAGGTACCAACATAGACTTATTCAAAAACACTTTCATGGACATCTGCGTATTCGACTGTACACTCAACAGAAGAGCCGCAACTCAGTGGTAGAGCACTTGCCTGATATGCAAAAGGTAACAGGTTCAATCCCTGACATCCTCAGGTTAAAAACTCCAGTCTGAAACCCTGGGGGGTTGCTGTCAGTCAGTTTAGACAATACTAGTTAGGTGGATCAATGACCTGCCTTGCTATGAGGCAACTTCCTATGTGCTAGTCTACTCAGAAGTAAGATCTACTGGGAGTAGAGATCGATGAGGCACACTCCCAGGTATGTGAGTATGGACCTGCAGTCTTAATCTGTTGCGGCAAACGCAGTCTGGTGGCACCTTAAAAAACAGTGAGCAAGCATATGATGGCAGAAGTTCTCATGGGCCACAGCCCACTTTGTTACACGTGACCCAAGAAAGCTTCTGCAACACCACATTTTAAGAGGTTACCAGACTTTGCTGTTCTGGCCGCATATGCTACATTTTTATGTGGTTTTCTTTTAAAGAGGGTGATTTAGACTTGCAGCATGAGATATGTCACTATACATTGCTTCAAGCCAATATATGGGTGTGGTGCAAGCCAACATTGTACAATCTGAACTGTGATAAATTGCAATTTAGATAAGCCCCAAGACAGTTCCAAGGGCCATGTCCAATATACTGCTAACGCTCGAAATCTGCCTCAAAGGCCAGGCGAAAGTTCAGTTCCTATTGGCAGCCATCTAAAAGTCATTTTCTGTGGCAGTTTGCTCATAAAAAAGGCTCTTGGACGCAATCTAAGAAAAATGAGACCGTTTCAACTACTCTTTCATGAAGTTCCATACAGCCCATACGGAAACTCCACTGCAATCTATAACCTTGACTATTGTTATGCAAGACTAGACATAAATCACAACAAAAAACAAGTATTTCCTTTCCAAGAAAACTGTATGTTTATTTACAGAAAAACTTTATTTTGTTTAAATTGCCACTAATCCAATAATATGGTATTTTCTAAGATAGTTGTTCAGAGGTGTTATAGCTTCCAAGAGGCCTGCTTGGAACATAAAAGCTCTTCTGAAATGAAAATCACAAGGGGAAACCAGAGAACCATGCCCTCAAATGTTCACCTACTAAGCAGTTCCAACATTAACAAAAGAGAGAGAGAGAGAGAGTACATTGTAGAGCTGGAAAAGGTTCACAAAAGAGCTATCAAAATCATCATGGGGCCGGAGTAATTTCCCTGTGAGGAAAATTCACAACATTTGGTGGGGCTTTTTAGTTTTCAAAAAAAGGAAAGGCAGGGAAGACATGACAGAGCTGTGCAAGGTTATGGGGGCAAATGTGGATGGGGACAATTCTACTCCCCTAAATACTGTAACTTGGGGCTAATTAATGAAGCTGGATGCTGGAAGATCAGAACTGTACTTCTTCACACAGTGTGCAATTAAAGCTTTGGAATTCGCTCCCACAACATGCAAAGATGACTACCAAATTGGATGGCTTTAAAACAGAACTAGACAAATTCATGGAGGACAGGGCGACCTATGCTTACTAGCCAGAACATCTCTTTTGGAGGTAGTATGCTGTTGCAGGCAATATGGCTCTGAATATCAGTTGCTGGAAATCACAAGCAGCAAGAGTGCTTTTGCACTCACATCTGCTTGCACATTTCCCAAGGCATCAATTTGGCCGCCATGAGAACAGAATGCATGTCTAGATAGGCCTCTGGCCTGATCCAATAGGTCTCTTCTTATGTTAGCAGTCCCCTAACCCTGAGACAAGATCATTTGTGAAGCATACTTTAGGGATAAGATACTCTCATATAATCCTGTTTTATTAGCTGCATTTTGAGCAACCTTATCTTATGCCTTTCCAACTATTCTCATGAGGTTTCTTTCTGTTTCTTTAAGGTTACAGCACTAAATGTTGGTTTCCTTTTACTAATTATTACAAGATCCTGCATTTTTGTATCTCCTAACCTTTCTGCTGCTCAAAAAGAGGCAAGTTATGAAAAACCTGTTCCTCCCTCCAACATATAAGGGAATCATGGAAATTAGTGCTAAGTACGACAACCCCATCCTTTGCACTACCCAAGAATCTGGCTTGTTTATTGACAACACTTGTTTTGAAGTTAGCTGTGTTTCCAGATGCTTTGTAGTCAGTTCCAGAACATAGAGCCCCAAGTTTTGTAGTATGTGTGGCAGCCAAACCAACTACAGCATGAAGAACAGTAGGCTGGCCCAGGCAAGCTGCTTATTAGCAGAGGTGAGGTGCAAAGCACCTGCCCCCTCAGCACACCTGCAGTGACATTTAATATGGAGGGGTGGAGAGGTCCTTCATCCAGCAGTTTAGCAAGCTGCTGGGAGAAGTGCCTTTCCAACAGAGGAAAGGGGCAGAGGTGTCAGATCTCACTAATTCTCCTGGACCTCTAGTCTTTCCATACCACTGACCACGGCATACTTCTGGATAGGCTCTCGGGGTTGGGAGTTAAGAGGCATAATGTGCCATGGGAACACTGATTTAAGTTTATGCCTGGGAACTACTTCTCAGCCTCAGGGTGTTTGTGGGGTTCTGCAGGTTCCATCTAGTCTCCCGTGCTTTTTGTTATCTATATGAAACCTTGGTCACCTGGGGATTTGAGGTGAGGTGCTATCAACATGTTGATGATATCTAGCTCTAATTCTGCCTTTGCTCACACTCATAGAGGGCTGGATGAGGGCCAAACAAAGGAGCTTGATCCAGGCAAGATGGTGGTTCTGCAGTTAGGTAAGTAGTTTGTTCAAAGAGATGGATAAAGTTTTCACTCCAGATCTGGCTCCTTGATCCAACTTTTGACACTGAAGGCCTGAGTAGCTTCTGTGCCAAGCAGTCCCCCCCCCTTTTTTTTAAAGCTTAGGCTGGTGGCCTTTGTGGACAGAGACTGCCTGGCCACAGTTTTTCATTGTCTATCTTGGACCACCTACTGTAATGCAATATATGTAGGGTTGACTTTAAAGAATGTTGGGCAGCTGACTGCAACCACTCATAACTCAAATGGCTACAGTCTGTTTCCAAACAAATTTAAAGTGCTGCTTCTTAGTCCTAAAACCCCAGACAGCTTAGGACCCAGGTACCTAAGTGGACACTTGCTTGTATACAAACCTTGAGTTTGTTTTAGAGACTCTGCTCCAGGTTTCCCTACCAGTCAAGATAAGGCAGGTAGCAACTAAAGAGCAGAGCCTGCTTTGTGGAATTCCACTGCAAGGGAAGCCACCCTGATGCCAACATCCTGTCAGTACCAGCTAAAGACATTTCTGTTCTCCCTTATTTTAAACTGTATTATTTTAAGCATGTTGTAATTTATTGTATTTTAATTTTGTATTTCGTTTTGTAAACTACTGTGGAAGTTTCCCTGAAAGGCAGCATAAAAATATTTTAAACACACCCATACCCTCTGTCATTCTAACACTGTCCAAGGACTTAACTCTCTGAAGTAGTCAGTGGGTACAGTACAAAACAGTCTGACAACAGCTTGCCCACAAGGTTTGGAAAGCTGCCTGTTCACAGAATTCCCACTCGTATTCAGCTGCAAGCCAAATGCCTAGAAATGATATTCTCTTTCTAGGAAGGACTAAAGAACAACCACTTAACTCCCAACATTGAATCTTTTGCTCCCACATAAGTCAGCCAGCCCCCAAGATTCTGCTTCAAAGAGGACACAAGCAATGAACACTAGAAATACAACTAAAAACAAATGTCAAAATCTGTTACCTTTCCGTCAGAGGCAATTCTACAGTGTCACTTTGACTTATTCACCTCCTAGTAGTCCAACTGAAGGCACGCTACCCTAAATGGAAGAGGTGGTGTAGACGCTTACAGGTCTTCTTACATAGATGCCACTTTCCTTAATTTCTACCTGAAGCTGTTCTCCCTTCCAGGCAAATGAAGTAAAGCTTGCCGGGCCCTTAATCTGTACACAATTGTTTGGAAAAAATGGCAGACAAATACAAGAAGAATGTATGGTGCCACTTAACACATCTCCATGGCAACTTAAAAACGATTAACTTTTGCTTGCCTGCTGAGCAGAGTAAAGTTGTGTTGAAAAGGCTGACTGCATTAACGGGAACAAAGGAAACTGGGGCAAGCGTCTGCAATTATGATCTCTGCTGTACCCACAGTAACGTTCATCGCCCTTGGCACAGCAATGAAGGGAGTGCATCCTTTCTTAGGTCTCCTTTGCTTGGCAAGTTCTTAGTGCGTTCCTGCCAGCTGGGATAGTGCCAAGGCAGAAACTCCACTCCTCTGCATTCCAGATCTCCTGATAAAGTGGAAGACTGCCTCTGGCTCACAGTCTGCCCAAGGACAGTTAACTCTTGCAGTCCTGCCACTCGGCTGCTGTATCCAAGAAACTTCCTCTCCATTTTTGTAATGGTAATATTATTTATTTCCCAACTTTTCCTCAAACGGGGACTCAACACAGCTTACACAGATTAAAACGACATATACATTAATATCCATTAGCGCTGTCCAGCTCCACTAGGGTTTATTATTGTCATGTTAAATCCCAAAAGTAAAGCTTGATGAGGGGGACGCGGGTGGCGCTGTGGGTTAAACCACAGAGCCTAGGACTTGCCAATCAGAAGGTCGGCAGTTCGAATCCCCGTGACGGGGTGAGCTCCCGTTGCTCGGTCCCTGCTCCTGCCAACTTAGCAGTTCGAAAGCACATCCAAGTGCAAGTAGATAAATAGGTACTGCTCCGGCGGGAAGGTAAATGGCGTTTCCGTGTGCTGCTTTGGTTTCGCCAGAAGCGGCTTAGTCATGCTGGCCACATGACCCGGAAGCTGTACGCCAGCTCCCTCGGTCAATAAAGCGACATGAGCGCCCCAACCCTAGAGTTGGTCACGACTGGACCTAATGGTCAGGAGTCCCTTTACCTTTTAAAGCTTGATGATGTGGTCCAGTGGTATATGTGGCAAATATTCAGAAACTCGGTGAATGTTACTCTTTACCCTTTTAATCTTTTAGGAGGTTAATGGTAAAAATGTCAGAAAACCTGACAACAACCACCACCACTTGCCTTAGGCGACTGTTGTAATTTCATCATTGTTTCCTTATAATCGCCTCCTCCATCCCCTATGTAAGACTAGACAGGCCTCTGTGCAAGACAGCACAGATGATCAGATGCTGCATCAGATTTCTTCTCTTTATCACTATTGTCCAATGCCATTTCTGTGAGCTGGAAATTTTCACCATGGGCAATTAAAAATGACTTGTGTATTACCAGAGATAAGGGTGTGTAAAGAAAATATACTGGTGCAGACAAAAACCTTGTGTAAAATATTGTAATTTTGGTGTAAGGAGTTTGGTGGGTGGGATTAGAAATCAGTGGCCACAGGCCAAAAATGATTAGAACTCCATGAGGCCCAGAGCTGCCAATGCAGGGGGTGTGTGTAAGGGGGCCATCAGCTGCCACAATGGGCCACTTTGAAAGATGGGTATTGAGGTGTTGGGTTGACAGACTCCCTTCTTTCTGAAAATAACTATCCGACAAAACTAGCTACATATTAAGAGAGGAGGCTAACTGGGATCATTTTCTCAAGGGATCCAGTGGCTCTGAAGGGATCAAATGGTTTCAAATATTCTCCTAAATATCAGAGAAGACTATGTTCTAAATATTTAGCAAGTGCATTGCCATGTACCAATAAATGATATGTACCACTAGATGACAGAAGCAAGGATGAAACTACATGGACTTAGTAAAATCCTTTAGTCATGCTTCCGACTTTCTGAGCAGAGGTTTCTAAAACTTTCCAGAAATTTCAGAATCTTCTTAAATGGAGAACCTAGTAGTTATACATGCAAACACACAAGCACACACGATCAGGAACTAGGAACTAGGATCAGGAACTAGGATCACAAAGACTTACACATTGGCCCTAGACATAAAAGCCTCTACCTAGATGATGCAGAAAGTTATCTACTTGCTTACTTTATGACTCCATCTTCTTGATGTTTCCTTACCTGTTAATTATTGCATTTTATATGACCTTTCACACAAGTAAAAGCCAATTCTAGAAATCTAGCCCATGTTTAGCATTCATTTCCATGTTAATTGTTTCCAGAAAAAAAAAATCTGCTTGCAATCTTGGCAACCTGGAAAATCACGGGAGTTTTGAGTTGTAAGATTCCTGCAGTTTTTAGAGATCATGCCCCACTGCTCATGTAATGAAATTTTGGCAGGTATTTTGGCATACTACATGATGATTGGCATACTACATGATAGGGGAAAAGAAGCGCATATGCACAGAAAGAGTGGGAGAGTGGCGATATTAGTTGTGACAACCACAGATACTGGTGTGAATGAAATATAGCATGACATGGTGGCATGTTAATCACAGCCACAGTTCCATAATGCAACAGGTAATGCAGTATAAAAGGAACACCAGGAACCAGAAAAGAAGCACTAGCAGTATAATCAGTAAAACTAACGTAATAAATCCCACACCTGAATGCAGACTATGTATCTGAAGTTGGTGGCTCCCGTGAGCGGAAGATGGACAGGTGGATACTCTGCTCCCTCTAGTGCTAAAGAAGCAAAAATACTCCAGAGGTTTTTTTTTACACCCAAGTCAAGTTATTGGGATGGGCTGAAAACCTAAATAGTTAAATTAAGTTCACATCTCCAGAACCCATGAGTACACACCTTGCTTTCTAGCCATTATAATTTTAATATCTTAGCTACTGGAATATTAGCTCTTAAAGCAATAGCTGAAGCTTTGAGAGGAGTCATATGTGGATTTGTGGTAGCCCTAGGTAAAGGTAAAGGGACCCCGGACCATTAGGTTCAGTCATGGCCGACTCTGGGGTTGCGGTGCTCATCTCGCTTTATTGGCCGAGGGAGCTGGCGTACAGCTTCTGGGTCATGTGGCCAGCATGACTAAGCCGCTTCTGGCGAACCAGAGCAGCGCACGGAAACGCCGTTTACCTTCCCGCTGGAGCTAGGTTGGCTGGCGCTGTGGGTTAAACCACAGAGCCTAGGACTTGCTGATCAGAAGGTCGGCGGTTCGAATCCCCGCAACGGGGTGAGCTCCCATTGCTCGGTCCCTGCTGCTGCCAACCTAGGTAACCCTAGCATATAGGAAATAAATGTTCTTCATAAGAACATAATAAGAATCTGCTGGATCAGGCCAATGGCTCATCTAATCCAGTTTCCTTTTCTCACAGTGACCAACAAGGTGCCTTTGGAAAGCAGGACCTGAGCCCCAGAACACTCTCCCCTCCTGCTGTTTCCACCAGCTTGCATTCGCAAGCATACTGCCTCTGACTGTGGAGTAGCCAGTGGTAGTATGCTGGGTTCCATGATCCAGAAACTGACATGGTCTGGGAAAGGATGTAGAAGTGGAGAACCACCAGCCCGTGGGTCTAATAAGGCCCATCAGGCCTTCCCATTTGGTCTGCAAGGCCATTTCGGCCTAACTACACCCACTTGCCCTACACCCAACGTCATGCAACTTCTGGTATGGGACACATATCATCAAAAGGGGTTTGCAGCCACTTGCAAAGCCTTGTGTGAAGGACTTTGCAAGCCCCCACAATCAACTGATAGGTCTTGCAGACTGCTTAGCAAGGGGCTTCAGGAGATCTGACAATCTGCTGATCATCAGGTCTTGCAACACGCCATGCAAGGGCTCTGCAATGTGGTCTTTTAATTGTCAGGTCTTGTGGAGTCCATTGCAAAGCACTCTGCAAGGACGCTGCAAGACCTGACAAAGTGTTGTGGAACACTTTGCAGGCTGCACATTTCCCCAAAGGGTTGGCCCACCAGCCACGTCTGACCCACCACCCAGATTCAGTTCCCCACCTCTGGAGTAGACATTCCCTTAGAAACCCAGAATATAAATCAAGAGGGTGGAAACAGTAACAAAGCAACATTGAGCACACCTTTCAACTGATACCAGATGTATTTTTTAAAACAGAGCTCATTGATATACAAAGAGCTGCATTTTTCTTAAGCACTGCCCAGTTTGGAAAAGAGACACCCCTGAACTTCTGGTTCAGTAGAGTTGACAAGCACAAGTAACTGTAGGGTCAATTCCTATGCTGGCATTCTCTAGTCTGAACAGTTAATGGGATTATCAGGGTTGGTAAAGACAACATAGAACAAGAAGATAGTTATGCATGGTCCTGTGCAATCCTTTTTTGGGCATGCTTCCAGCCGGGATTCCTCTGCCATCACTCACCTGCCCTTGTCAGGGCATCAGCACCACACAGATCCTCTCCCCCAAGTTATCTGAAACTGCAGATAACCCAAGAGAAGCTTCAGCTTTCTCTGAAGCTCATTTGACCAGCCTTCCCCCACGTTTGCCCAAGGACTTGGAGGACAGGAGGGAGATCTCTGCATTACTTCTGCCTACTCCAAAGTGCAGTGTAATGCAAGACACATGCACTCATGCACTCTGCCTATGGTCTCTGCATGTTTTAAGAGGATGCAGGGGATAGGCTGATAACTACTACAAACAATGGCTGATTGAGCCAAGCCAAGATTTACAAATTAGTGCTTCAAAAGTTCACTGCAGTAATGTACAATCAATATTATGGGAAGCTGCTGTGAGGAGCCAGCCTTAACGAGAAGTATCTATGGAGAACATAAGCTGCAATATGCTTTAAGAGAGAGAAAGCACGAAGACATGGCAAAATATTTTTGTGCTTGACATAGCTTCCACCACAACCATGAATGTACTGGGAAGATTTCAAAGCATCCCATTTGATAAACGTCCACAGAATCCAATGCTACAACAGAGAGTGCAAAAGACAACACCAACAAAATATTAGCTCACTTTTTAAAAACTATGTTAAACCAAAATACATAACCCTCCATCAAACATATGTGCAGAATGATATGTTGCCAGTCCATAGCCAACTATTGCCCATTTCAGGGGTGAAATGCTTTGATAGGACTCTTACCTTTCGTTCCAGGGGGCTGCAAGTTGTCACCAGTCAGTGAACACCAACCAACTGGAAAGATGTCACGAGAATCGTAACGGCACCAGTAATCAAAGGCTCCCCTCCAGCCATCAAAAGTGATGAGGACCTCAGAACCCCGCACCTCACCAATGGTGGCAGGGCAGATGAAATGTGGGTTTTTTCTATCTACAGCCTCCAGTTTCATCCCCATCTTAAAGAAATTCTGGGATGGAGATGGTGGCTCCTAGGAGGGGGAAGGGACAAGAAAAAGGATCAGATGCAACGCAATTAATACGCATATGTGTGCATGTACACACACGGCTTACTTTACAGACCTATTCTGCTGACTTAGCAGTGCACTCATTAGCCCTTGTTTCCCAGCAGCTGCTGCACAAGGAATTAGATAAAGGCTACTGGTGGGCTGATTTACAGAACTTAAATTGCATCACAGGCCAAGTTCAGATGCAATGTTGAACTTTGGCTTATTTTTCTTAAACCAGGTTAAATTCTACGTTCAAACAACAGTACCTTCATTCATTTTCTGCTGTCGACCTAGCTTCTCAAACTGGGAGCTTAATCCAGGAAGTTGCTAACTGCAGTTCATACACTTGTCTTTCCTAAGTCCAAGCCAAGTTACCCTGATGAAGGGTTGGTTAAGGATAACAAAGGAAGGCTGTATGGAACACTACTGGAGGAGGGGAAGCACATAGGACAAGGTAGTAGCAGGAGTAGCACTCTGTGCATCACACATTAACCTGGTTCAATGGAACCTGAGGTCCTCCAGATATTGCTGTACTACAACTCCTAACATCCCTGACCACTGGTCATGCTAGCTGGGAAAGAGATGGGATCCCCAATAACTTCTAGAATGCAGCATATTCCCCACCCCTGCATTACAGTAACCAGGGAAAGATTACCCTCAGTATAAAAACAACTAGGGTTCAATGTTATGTCTAAATGGGGACATTGAGAGTTCTGGCCCCCTACACCATCCTGTCAAACCTTGGTCCTCTGGCATACCTTGTGATGCCCTGCTGCCAACCTTTTGCTGAATTATTTTCTCCCTTTTACTCTCCACAAATATAATTTTCAATCTTGCCTTTTCACATCCCTATTTTCCATCTGTGCTTATGTCCATATTGTTCTTATCTTATCTTGCTCCTGCCCCGAATCTGATCCCACTTTGCCTTCTGACTAGACCCAATCCTTCTGTGACTTACTACTTTGGCCAACATAAACCCCCACCTGTAAAGTTATTCAGTGTGCCATTCATGACACCGCCACATCAAACTTAGGGACTTCATACAAACATTCACTTCCATTCTTTCAGAAACTTAGAGTCTTGCTATCTATATTCTCTTAACAGGAGTATTGTTAATGAGGAGGAGTGGAACAAAGCCTCAACCCCCACTCCTTCCAGGCAACTGGGGAACCAAACTCATAAGCACATCAAAGCCAGCTACATTGTCTTCAGAACAGGGAACGATGATGGCCATACCTTGTGGAAAATCCTAACAGGTGCCATTTCTGCTCCATTCAGAGTCTTCAGGAGAAACATGGGCCAAGAAGAAGCATTCAGTCGAAACCCTGCAACAAACAGACGTGGAGGCCATAAAAAGCGTAGCAGCAGCTTTCAGTTCTGTCCATCCTTCCATCATGAAGGTAACTTGATGTCTTCATCATAACATTTAGCAAATGTACTGAAAATCAAGGAATTTTTCTCTTGAGAGAGTCTAAGGAAGCTTAATTTGCACCATACTATTGGCTGGACTTTTTGTTGATGCAATTACTTGAGTATACCAAGATTTTCTAACAGGTAACATAAGCAGAACTTGGAAATAAATGCAATAGTATTTTAAGAATGTGAACTGGTGTTTTATAGTGGACTTAATCATGACATCACAGCTAAGACAACCCTCTTATTGTAATCCATTGTGGACCCATTCTGCTGAGAAATTAGAAGAACTTTCCTGAAAACTTCAGCTGTGTCACTTTTGACAGTGAACTACAGTAAAGCAAGATCTGCCCTGTACAGCCTCAGGCACACTTGTACAGAAGAGTGTATTACGGGTCCTTCTGCATATTTAAATCTGCTCTTAATTCAGAGATGCCGAGCCACTAGCATGGCTACCTGTGGTCAGTCACAAGTGACTAGAGCAGGGGTGAGCAAACTTTTTCAGCAGGAGGCCGGTCCACTGTCCCTCAGACCTTGGGGGGGGGGGGCTGGACTATATTTTTTTGGCGGGGGGGAATGAACGAATTCCTATGCTCCACAAATAACCCAGAGATGCATTTTAAATAAAATCACACATTCTACTCATGTAAAAACACCAGGCAGGCCCCACAAATAAACCAGAGATGCATTTTAAATAAAAGGACACAAACACACTGATTCCCAGACCATCCACGGGCCGGATATAGAAGGTGATTGGGCTGGATCCAGCCCCCAGGCCTTAGTTTGTCTACCCATGGCCTAGAGGAAACCAGGCAGGGAAGAAACATGATGGAGCACACAGTAGATACCTCTAAGTAAGCCTCCCTTCTCCAGAGCACTTCATATATTCAGATGTCATATCGCTGTTTACTGCAATTCCAAAGCTCTTTTGATCACTTGGAATCTAGAAGACATGATTATAGCATAAATGTAGCCCTTGGGGCAAACGAGGTTTCAACTCACCTAAAGGAGGCTGCAGCATCCCTCCATTCTTTTCACAGTTGCCAATAGGCTGGATTTCTGCAGAATCCACCAGACGCCAGAAGTCATTCTTATTATCACTGCCATCCAGGCGCAATCGGAGACGGGCACCTGTCAATCCCACCACAGTAGCAATACAAGTGGAAGTGGTGTTTCTGGGATCCTGGGCTTCTAGCTTCATGCTGATCTTGAATTCATTGGAAGGTGGGGTGTATGACTGAGGAGAAAAAGGCTTTCAGCGTGACTTGAGTGATACATTTTTCTTCCCTCCCAAACCTCCTCCTTATTCCCTGAATTGTTCCCAGCACCTGAATGCCAAGAGCATATTAGAACTGGATGTCACAGTAGGCAATGAAAGAGAAACAAGGGTGAGGAAGAAGTGAAAGAAATTCAGTCATCAACATGGTAAAAATTCTCCTCCAAAACATTCACTTACAGCCACTAAACCCCAAAATTCTCTTCTTCTCCCATTATTTTTGCTTTGGAAATAAAACACCTCTGTCTTTCAAGAGAAATGGAAAGCCTTCTCTGTGGCAGCACCTATATTTCAGAATTAACATTAGGCAGGCACTTTTGCCATACTGTACAAGATGCCTGCTAAAACCCTTTTTAGTTAACCAAGTCTATCCACTTATAATTTAATATTTTCTATTAAAATTTTGTTGATTTTATCTGTGGATTGTTGATAATTGTTTTATATTGTTTTATGTACAGTACATTGCTTAGAGAACTTTTTGATTAAGAAGTTTATGTCTATTAAAAAATCTAAATGAGCTCAAGCCAACCTGCCATGCTTTGTTAATGGTGGTTAATCCTGAGCTTGCACAACATCACAGCACTATGCTTATCTCCTTGATCAGGTCATTGGACGCTGACTTTTCTGAGTCCCTCTAGCCCACTATTGCTTACTTTGACTGGCAGCAGCTCTTCATCTTGCACCTGACAAAGTGGCCTTCAGTCCACAAAATTTTATGCCATAATAAAATTTGTTGGCTGTTAAGGTGCCTTAGTAGTTTTTTGGGCTATCAACATCTAGAAGGGGCAGACGGGACAACGTCCCCCTGAAATTTTCAAGGAGGGGGCTGGGTCCCATCAATATTTTGCATCACTTGCGCAAGCTGTGTGGTGTGCGCACAGCACATCAGCACCTCAAACACTAGTGGTGTCAGCACGTTGCCAGCCCCCTAAATCGCGTGGGTAAGCTGACACACCTGGCTATCAGACAGAGTTCTTTCAAATTATCTCCAAATTAATCCAATTTAATTGGACATGTCAAGGATCAAACTTGGGATAGTCTGCATTCAACAATACTTAAACCTTGGCTTGGAGTCCTACTGTACTCTTGGGCCTCCATTTCCTACCAACCCAATTTGCTAGTAAATCAAACCCAGGCACTACCTTCAAAATTCACATATTTTTGTCTAGGCTTCACCTATAAGGCAGACACTTTCATTAGAAAGCATTTAAAAATTGTAGCCAAAGATGATGCCCAAACAATCATCTCATAACTCAAGGAACTACAACAAACATTCATTGTAACTTTAGACCTAAAGGAAACTAATGTCAGCACATGCAATGATCCAGATACATACATAGTCCAAGCAGGGAGAAATCTAATGTTCCTGTTCAAACCTACCTGTGAACAAAGGTTCCTGAGCCTTTCACCAACCTTAAAGGTCATGTGACTGCACCTTTATTTAAAAAGCTCTGTTCTGTTATATATTTTACAACCGGGTACCTGCATCGGTTGCTCTTCCCCCACAAAGAGAAGGCACAGGAGTTTATTCCACACTTGTCCATGAGCTGTCTAGAAGCTGCCCCCTTCATCCCAACTCTTTTACAACATGGAATGCTCCATTACCTGCTTGAAGCAATGGGCAGGAGCAGGGATGGAGCATGTCTCTTTCAAGTATCTATCCCAGGCAAAGTGACCTGTGTAAAGGAGAAGGAAAAAAAGACTGCAATGGAACTTTTGAGAATAATTCTGGAAAATGACCAGTCTTTATAAGAACCTTAATGAAATACCTATAAATGTATTAGCTATTAGGCAGAGGAGCTGATCAAAATGAATTGCACAATGATAACAATTTCAAGTTCAAAAGATCACAATGAATTGTTTGGGCTGAGAGTACAGAATTACCAATTGTGGTAGAGAAACTTAAATTAAGTCTAAAGTCAACCACAAAAGCTTTGTACCTGAATCCTGGTCTATGTATCTATTCATGTACTGCAGGTATCTTCAAGCTTTTCAGACCCAGGACGCACTTTTAACTCAAACAAGCATCTTTTACCATGGCGCTAGCACTCCTGTTGTGATCTAGCTTGGATCAGGACACAACCCACTAGTGGGTTTCAATCCCCCAATTGAAGACCAGTGATATAGCTGCAGTTATATCTTGCTCCGTCTCCCACAGGCACACACACAGCAGCTGTCATACAGTATGGTTCATTTGCTTCAGTTGTAGAACTGCATGCAGCACTTTTACATTATTCTCTCAACATTCTTAAGGTTTTCTCCATGCCTTAAGAAGCCAAAGAGACCTCAAGATGACTCATACACTTAGTAGCTGACAAAGTCAGTCAGCCAAGCTGGAGAGGGCATAGCTACATGTTATAAGGAACAGGAAACTCCAGTCCAAAATAGCAACCACGGACAAATTCCTTCCCTTTGCTACTTTTTAAAGTGAAGTCCAAATTGTTCATAACTTACTCAGGGCCCTGGCATCATCCAAACAACCTCCATATATCATTGGCTGCTGCAGCCAGTGTCAAGGAAATGAATGCCACGCAGATGTCAGAACAGTGAACACAGCAACTAGATGTTAAGGATTGAGAGGGAGCAAACTTGACACACACAACTAGCTGCTAGTTTGAGCAGCACCTCTCTAAAGTCTTCCCTTTTTATTGCCCAATACAATGAAAACAGAGGTCTTCTTGGTTATTCAGATGTAACAGAACAAATATAGTACAGAGTCGTAGGGGGATCCTGTCTTTTTTATTTTAAATGCTAGGATTCTTACATGCAATCCTAAACATATTTTGTAAAAAGTGAAGTCTACCAATTTAGGGCCCTATCTTTCAAGAGAGAATATTCAAGATTGCAGCCTTTATCTATGTATCTTACACAGTAACTGGCCTGCAAGTGGCATAATAGCTTTTTAAACTGCTTGCACATGCCACACTACTGTAGACAGATTACCGTATTTTTCGCTCTATAAGACGCACCAGACCACAAGACGCACCTAGCTTTTGGAGGAGGAAAAAAAGAAAAAAAAAATCAGAATCTCAGAAGCCAGAACAGCAAGAGGGATCGCTGCGCAGTGAAAGCAGCAATCCCTCTTGCTGTTCTGGCTTCTGGGATAGCTGCACAGCCTGTATTCGCTCCATAAGACGCACACACATTTCCCCTTACTTTTTAGGAGGGAAAAAGTGAGTCTTATAGAGCAAAAAATATGGTATGCCCACATTTCACCTGCCAGCAATTCCTAGGTAAAGAAACCAAAGAAACAAATCCCTTTTACTTTTTCACATTTAGTAATGGCCCATCTCTGGCATGGAGCACCACAGTACAACTAGAACATGTCTTTACAATGCAGAAAACCTGTTTTAACCTACTAAACAATTAGCAGAATGCTATTTTGTTTCATGTGGTAGCCTCATGGTATTTTGATAAACTGTCCATCTTATTTTGTATACAGTGGTACCTCGGGTTAAGTACTTAATTCATACCAGAGGTCCGTACTTAACCTGAAACTGTTCTTAACCTGAAGACCACTTTAGCTAATGGGGCCTCCTGCTGCTGCCATGCCTCCGGAACACAATTTCTGTTCTCATCCTGAAGCAAAGTTCTTAACCTGAAGCACTATTTCTGGGTTAGTGGAGTCTGTAACCTGAAGTGTATGTAACCTGAAGCGTATGTAACCCGAGGTACCTCTGTAAGTCCCCTTTTTCCTGAGGACTTGTTCACACTGAGCCACATGGAGGGTGGCATACTATGAGATGAGAGCAAAGTTAATTTAATGGAAGAAACCAATTGTACATTAATGTTACAGTGACTCACTATGCAGAACAGCCGATACACAGGAAAGGAAGCTACTTTATAACAGGTCAGACCATTTGTCTATCTATATCAGGGGTAGTCAACCTTTTTATACCTACCGCCCACTACTGCATCTTTCTTGATGGTGAAATTTCCTTACCGGCCACCAGTGCTCGATGGAAGGAGGATTCAGTTTGTACCACAGAACCCCCTACTGCCCACCTAGAATCCTGAAACGCCCACTAGTGGGCGGTAGGGACCTGGTTGACAACCCGTGATCTATATAGTCTAGTACTGTCTACTCTGCCTGGCAACAGTTCTCTGGGATCTCAAGCAGAGGTCTTTCAAATCACCTGCTAACCAACTAATTTGATTTTTAAAAAGTCAAGGGCTTTCTTCCGCACTCAGTGATAATGGGTTTGCATTTGCTAAACTTTACTCTGTTATTCACTGATCCAAGAGTGTCCCAGGTTGGCATTAACTGTGAGTTGTTAGCCAAAAAGATTGCCTGTACAAGATAAGCTAGTGATTTCCCTCCATTTCTTCCTTCAACTTCATTTTCTGCCTTATTTATCACCCTTCTTATCTCAAGAGATTGTAAGACTGCAGGCAGAGGATGACTCATGCTTTTAATTTTTGGAAAGCACCTAGATTTGAGGCAATTTATAACTCAATATTATAACTCATTCAGGCAAACTAGATTTTCACCAGGGAATAACAATCCCCTCTGTTGATAATTACCAGAGAAATAAAGGAACAAAATACTAATTCTTTATCATGGCAGTGGGATGGTACACTGGCAAAGCCAATTAGGAAAATTGGCACGGCTGGTGCAGCCATTTTAACTTGCTAATCATGTGGTCTTTAGGCCTGTTCACCTGGTACCTTTAAACTGATTTTTGTTGGTGTTTTTATTCCTGTCAGTTGATGTTTTTTGCTGCTGCCTTTATTTCCTCAGAAGCCACACATTCTGCACAAGCTGTAGGCCGTATCATGCTCTTGCATGGGATTGAAAGATTGTGAATCCTCATAGGAGTTTGAGCACAGAAACACTGAAGTGTAACTCATTAAGTTTAATCACATTTATACAGAAAGGCAGCATGCATGCAGAGGTACAGTGGTAGCAGAAACACACCACAGTGATTATACTGGAAAAGGTCCCACCGTGACAGAACTACTGCCTTTGGACAAAGCAGAGTGAAGCCACGATAACCAGCAAATTAATTAGGAGCTCTCTGACTTGTCTGTGTCTTCAAAGTTAGCCACAAGTTAGCCTTTTGTCACTGAGGGATTCCGCTGCTGATATTCACGCAAATCTAGGTTTTGAACTGTGTGTGTTTCAATGCCTTGGATGCCAGACATTGATGATGATCTTGGACAGCAAGATTCCATGTTGTTGCGGAGCAACCAAAGAAAACGCCTCTTTAGGCTGGTTCACATATGCCATGTTCCACATGATAACTGCAACATCAAATGGAGACCTCCACATGTGAACAAGCTATCCTAAATCCATCAAGTCTCAAATATTTTGTATCACTTCAGACACACTGCTTCTTGATGGAGTTACTCTGTATGTTCAGTTCGAAGTCAACCAGAGACATACATGTATGCGTGAACCAGTCCTATGTACCTGTGCTGCATGAATACTATGCATTTTCACAAACTATTTGCAGAAAAGGGCTTCACTGCAATTACAGCATAATCAGGTATGCTAATAAAGAAGATGCAAACAGATACAGAATTATCAAATAGAAGCAGCTGCTCTGTGCAAATCTCTTTAGGACTAAAAAGCTGATAGCCCTCCTTCAACTTGGATTGATTTAGGAGTAATAGCTCATTGGCTGGGTATTTGCTCTGACTGAATCCTTGGCATCTCTATTTAAAAGATTGCGGGGAAATGGATTAGGGAAGAGCGCTGCCTGAGACCTTGAGGCGAGAAAGACCAATGATCTGACTCAATATATGACAGCTTCACATGGCCCATTAAAAGTTTCTATTACCTTCTCTATATTCCTTCTCCTTTGTGGTCAGCAGAAAACTCACTAGCTGCTCTTCTAACAAAGGGGAACAGAAAAGAATGTGGATCTGATTCATACCTTGGTACTGAGACGGAGGTTCTGACAAGCGCCCATACTTGTGCTTTTTGCCATCTTTCCAGTCTATTGCTAAGACCAAAGAGAGAGAATAACCTCACAAAGAGCTTTTCCTTCATCAGCAAGAAATTATGCTCCATGTTGCCTACTGTTTCTTGGCCAACCGCAAGCAGATTTACCCTTCAATGTATAAGTGTCACTGCTTGGACCAAAATTCCCTTCAAACTAATTATGCTAGAAGTAAAATGAAACCAACTGCATGCTAACATATAATGAGATGTTTAAAATATTGAGTTTCAGAGGCCAACCTCAAATTAGGAGATCTGCCCTTTTCCACAAAGGTCACAACAGTCGGTGGGAAAATTTATTTTCCTTGGTCTCTGCTTATTTGTCTGATCTCTGCCAGCTGCAAAACACAGCAAAGACACTGCTGAGAACTGAAGAAAAAGCTCCATGCCCATGTCCAAATGGCCAAGTCACAATCCTTCTGATGTGACAGGATGCAAGCTGATGAAAACAGGATGCCACTTTGCTGTATCTAGTTTGTAATCCTACACTCCTCCTCCCTGTGCAGCCTCTGGTAATTCACATGGGAATAAGAGAGTGCTGTGTCAGGGGGTGGGGAGAGAACAGAATTAAGAGAATTTTGGGGTCCAGGAGACTTAAGTAATTTATCATGGGGGACAACAACAAAATCACAAGTGAGGCCTTGCTCACTCAATATAGCCAACACAAACTTCTGAGCACTTGATGAAGATGCTGAAACATTAACAGAAGATTCATTGTGAGCCAAATAGCAAACTGGATTGCCAGGAGAGTTGTGGAAACTGACTGTCATCTAGAAACATGAAAAAGTGCTTGAAATGCTAGTAATGGTGTTGCAAAATCAGGGGGAATGTGTGTGTGGGGGGGATAAAATTGGAAAAACAGCTTCTATTTCAACTGTTTTCCTTATAAACAGTTGAGACACCTTAAAGACTACCACATTTATCACATATCCTCCAACCTTGTTAATACAAAATATACAGCACACATTAGTGAATAGCACTATCAAGTTATTTTCATTCCCCGCTTTTATCTGAGCCTGAGGGCCACATTCTTTCATGGGCAACCTTCTGAGTGCCGCATACCAGTGGTGTTTGGGGTCAGATGCAATAATGAGCAGAGCAATGGATGGGACATTTAGGGTTACATTCCAGCCATACAAAAGTCAGAGATTTCTACACAAATACACCCCCCTCCATCCTTCTTCCAGGCAAACAAGAGGAGTTACCACAATTCAAGGACACATTCCAACCAGCAAAGGCATTCAAGGAGTGTGTGACCTGTGGGAGGGTGTGCGGCCTGGAAAAGTCCCAAGGGCCAAACAGAGACAGGTCTAGAAACCTCAATGGGCCCCTGGGTTAAGGTTCCCCACTCCTGCACTAAGCAGTAAATGAGGGCCAAAGTGGAAGCAATATTTGTCATATGCGATTCCCTTGTGAAGCTGATTTTTCTTCAACAAGTAGTGGGGGGCGGGGGCGGCCAGGGGGGACAAACCCCACCAGGTCTGCTACTGGCACCAATGGATGTTTTCCCCCCACTATGAACAGCAGGTATAGTGGGGAAGGCAATTACTATCAGCACCATGTCAGGGACAATAACTTAGCCCCTCTTCCCATGCCATGTTCCCAAACCAGCTCACTCTCTAACCACACTAGCTGTTTTTTAAAGAAATAAAAGTCAACCTGGGAGACCAGGGTTCGAATCCCCACTCAGCCATGAAGCTCACTGGGTGACCTTGGGCTAGTCACCATCTCTTAGCCTAACCTACCTCACAGAGTTGTTGTGAGGATGAAATGGGTGCAGGAGAACTATGTACATCACCTTGAGATCTTTGGAAGATAACGGTGGTATATGAATGTAATAAATATATAAATAAACCGCATAATGGCAAACAACATTTGTTTTGGCCCAAAGGGTTATGGGGAGAAGTTCCTTTTCTAAAGTAACAAGAAATAATTCAAAAGTGATTCTGATATTTACATGGTAGAAATGTAAGTTGTGGGGCCAGGGGCCATAATTATTAAAAATGCATATAAATAAATCTTTACATGAGCATGCCTTAATGAGGCTTGTTATTCCATCTCCTCACTCCTAAGTCAATAGGACTTACTTCAGAGTAAACACAAATAGGATTGCTAAATAAAAACATCCTGAAGGTCCCAGGCCACAGAGAGGTTAGGCTGGCCTCAACTAGAGCCAGGGCTTTCTCGGCTGCGGCTCCAATCTGGTGGAACGCTCTGTCACAAGGGACTAGGGCCCTGCGGGACCTGACATCTTTCCGCAGGGCCTGCAAGACAGAGCTGTTCCACCAGGCCTTTGGTCAGGGCGCAGCCTGACTCCCTCCTCTGGCAATCTGCACAGAATTTTGCTTAACGGTTGCCATCAATTTGATTTTAATGAATTTTTATAATGAAATGTTTTTAGAATGTTGGATTATTTGATTGTTGTTAGCCGCCCTGAGCCCGGCTTCGGCTGGGGAGGGCGGGATATAAATAAAATTTATTATTATTATTATTATTATTATTATTATTATTATTATTAAACACTCTCTAGGATTCCTTAGGGGGACGCGGGTGGCGCTGTGGGTAAAACCTCAGCGCCTAGGACTTGCCGATCGCATGGTCGGCGGTTCGAATCCCCGCGGCGGGGTGAGCTCCCGTCGTTCGGTTCCAGCTCCTGCCCACCTAGCAGTTCGAAAGCACCCTTAAGTGCAAGTAGATAAATAGGTACCGCTTTATAGTGGGAAGCTAAACGGCATTTCCGTGTGCTGCTCTGGTGCCGGTCGCCGGAGCAGCTTCGTCATGCTGGCCACGTGACCCGGAAGTGTCTGTGGACAGCGCTGGCTCCCGGCCTCTAGAGTGAGATGAGCGCACAACCCTAGAGTCTGTCAAGACTGGCCCGTATGGGCAGGGGTACCTTTACCTTTACCTTAGGATTCCTTAGAGAGTGGAATCTAATTTTTCATCAAATTTTTATATAGACAAAGCTTTGTTAGGGTCCAATAGATGAAAAAAAGGAGAAAAACAGGGAGCTTAAGACACTCAGGAAGTGTATGACAGATACTGCTAAAATAATTCCATTAGAGAAAACAAATACACCTTCAACTGCTTTCTAGAAAGCCAATTACACTGACAGGAAACGGCCTGGCTAAAAGCACAGGTGCTGCTTTTGAAGCATATTGCATAATATTCATAACCAGAGGTCACAATGGTAGCAGTGGCTGGAGGATACAGATTCCATGAAGAAAATAATCAGCTGAACAGAAGGCTGAAATCAAAGACCAGACAACCACGCTGCAGACTAATCAACCAGCATCACTATTATCAAGTTCTCCAGCTGCCTCTCAGCATGCTCAAATGGGCTTCTGTTTTCCTCCATTTACTTTCACACTATTAAAAGGACAAGTGGTGCTAGAGAGGAACTAACTTCTGCAAGATGAACAACTAGAGGTGCAAAAACAATCTGAAAGAAGTGGGGTGGCGGAGAGAGAAGGAGTAACAGCACCGTAAAGCAGACAAGGAATTTCTTGGAACAACCCTTGCACTTTGTATGGCATATATGAATAGAAAGCAGAACCAGATACTACCTTCTTAGCTGGATTTTTTCCCTTCTCTCCTTTATGTCAAAATTGCTAGTCAACTGCTCAGAGTCAGGGAGAAAAAGGCTAATTCAGCTGCAAAGAAAAATCTGCCTTAAATGCATATGCCACAGACACAATCACGATTTGCCTTGCAGTCGGAGAAAATATTATAGTCACTAGAGAAAAGTGCCATGAGGTAGGCTGGTTGTTGGTTTCATGCCTCATTAAAGGGAAGGATGCATCTGCCAACACAGCACCGGCTTGCACCATGCTGGGAGTATAAGCAGATGGTGCCAAAGCAGCAACACAGGCTCAGAAGAGCTTCCTTCAGCTGGCCTAGCTGTAAACAGAATGGCAAGCTAGGCTCCCCTAAAAAGTAATTATGGGCAGAAAGTTCATTTGTGTGTGCAGAAAAGTGGAGTCTATGCTGATGGAAGCCAAAACACTTCCTACCACGAAGCAACATAGTCAAACTAAGTGCAGTATCAGCTACAACTACATAGCAACGTCAGTGGCCAAGGCAGCATACAAAATAAACTTACAAAGAAGGCAGACCCCTGCCCAACTTAAGCTTGACCAAGCCATCACTTCCTTAGATATATACCGGTGAGCAGTGCAATCCAAACCCTCCTGGGGTGGATGAGGATACTGTATAGTCTCTCCTCTGTTAAGTCTCCACTGGAGAGGAGGAGTGACACTGGGGTTTGCTGGGGGTGGTGGTGCTGAAGAGGGAGCTCAGCCACAGTGCAGACCCAACTTGCCCACTCAGATGGCAAGGTACTGCCAGGTATTCTCCTGCAAGAGGCTGCCAGTGGAAAGGGAGTATTGAAAGGTGGGGTGCCAACAGCTGTGGATCAGAAAATCAGAAAGTAGTGCCTCCACCTTCCACCCATGCCAAGGATGTGCTAGTTAATCCCCTGCTCTGCCCCACAATCAGGATTAAAATTGTTCATTAAGTGCTTCTGAGGTCTATGGGAGTATGTTTACAAAAGACTGAGTCCTCTCCAGGGAGTACAAGTTGTCCCGATACTGTACGCTTTTTTACTCAAATCGCACTCACCCACCACTGCCATCACTAATGTGGTCACCTGATAGGCACAAGGGTGGGGTTAAATCCTGTGCTAGTAGGGTGTCCCTGTTCCCAGCACTGTGCATCCAATCTGAGCAGATTATAAGCCTGCTCATTAGTTGATGAGGAGGTTAAATCCTGTTCACTTTCGCAGGATTCCATGCAAATCCCTACCTGATTCAGAAAGGGGTTGGCATTGCAATCCCCTGCTAAGAGTTTCTCCTCATTGTTTTCGCAAAGGTTTCTATGCAAACTTGCATGGGATCCCATGCTAAAATGATGGGAACACTCACCCTTTAATGGGAGATTCTGAGCCCCCCCCCCCCCTTATCTGATTCATGGACAGGTGTGCATCAGGATCCTATTCTGAAATCTGATAGACTTTTTCTATCAATGTTTTAGCAGGGGATTCCATTCAACCCCTGGCTAAGATGAGGGAAGAAACCCTCCCCTTTGGCAGTACTTTGCAAGGCGCTTTGAGGTCCCAGCTTCAAGTACCTTACACATGATGTCAGGTGGCTGACAAGTGGGAGGCCCTACCCACTTGCCAAATTTGGTCCACCAGGGTGATCCTGATAAGGAATTGGCCCATGCAGCTAAAAAGGTTCCCCACTCATACTATACACACCTAAATGTTGGAAGGGGCTGTATGCTGTGTGCATACTACCTGCTCACTGAGAACTGCTCCATTTGCAGCTCAAAAGAACTATTCAGATAATGAAAATGAAAAGTGCAAAAAGTTCGGTAAGAATTCAAGGTAACCTTTCTCCTTCACCTGTGTATTACTCAAGTCTCAGTGTAATGATAGTTCATTGTGAATGCATCCCCAGCTCCTAATGTCAGGTTACCAAACTGTGTCGTACTTGTTTATCATCATGTACAAAAGTTTGGTTTTGAAGATATCTGTATGCATCTGAAGAAAAACAACTCATCACACGGGGATGACAAAGATGGCTGAGAGGTTGTGCTAACATCTGAATGAAATGCTCCATTATAAATGTAGAAATAAGGCTTTTGGCAATGAGATCTGTCCAGCCTATGCTGTGAATATTCTTTGGGAAGATAGACATTTGTTACATATCCCATATTTGAAGGGTCTTTCACAATAAAGTTGAAAATCCCTTGGAGATTTACTTCAGAGTGGGCCCCACTGCACTGAGACATACACATGCATTCATCATGCATAATGAATCATGGTGTAATAAATTCTGTCTTGTCTGAAGCAGCCCTGAACACACTCACAAAAGAAAGAAAAAGGATGAATTTATGTATAGATCTGTTGGTGTGAAAGAAGAAAACAAAATGGAATATGCACGTCTGTTAATTTTATTTCTCCACAGAAATCTGAGGTAGTTTTATGGACCCAGTTTCCAAATGTTGTCCATAATTTTGCTTGTCCAGGTGGTTGAAAAAGTACCTATAGCTTTCATATCTGGCCCCATTAATATATTTAAGGATATATCAATAAACCAGTTACATGGGCTTTCCTTGTTTGAGGATTACTGCTTACCTTTCTGAGGGCTTGGTTTCCGCATTATATTGCCTCTTACAGGTCCTCACTCTGGAACTGGCTCCGCTTTTCTAATCTGAATTTATCTAGGGGGGAAAAGAGATGAAATATTACAGCCTCTTAGGAACTTCATGACTTTTTCGCAACCAATATACAGGAAAATAAGTAATCTCAGCTCCATGATTTCCTAAATTAACCTGATTCAGATCCATTATAGTCTGCTTTCGGGCCTGGTTTTGGAAGAGAAAGTGCAAAGGTTATCCTAATGGATTATCTGTGCCAAGAGATGGATCGAGAACTGCTACTCTACTATACTTCGAGATCTTTTGATACCATCAGCCATGGTGCCCTTCTGGGTTTCCTGGCTTTGATGGGAACATGCAATACCACTCTTCATTGGTTCCATTCGTATCTGGACAGATGGATTTAGAAAGTGGAGACCGCAGATAGCTGTTTTACCCCAGGTCCTTTGGCCTGTGGGAAACCACAAGGCTCCTTTTAGTTAGAAGAGGGGGATGGCATATCCAGAGTGATTATGTTTTCTAACCAACTCATATCTCAAAAATATTGTGGCCAACTTAAAAATAATTTATTCTGTTAAAAATAAATCATTATTGTAATATACTGTAAATCCCTCGTTTTCTAAGAGTTGAGTTCATTGCAATAATGCTTTCAAGTTATGAGTGCCAGAAATGCAGCTTTGCAACAAAAAGTTGAGATTTGCATGATTTCCAGTGAGACTTCAAGGTGTGGAATAAAAATAAACTGACAACTTTATGAAACAGCCAAAGGACCAACTCACTAATGAAATGCTGACAGTTTACTTCAACAACTGCTTTCACAATAAACATAAAACTTTTAAGTTTACAGGTATAACTGATAACATAATAAATTCAGAAGAACATCCTATGTCTGCTTTTTTATATTTGATCCCAAGAAAGGTTTTGCTCTTGGCCTTTGTTTAAGAAGCAAACAGACCTGATAGTTACAATAATTAGGAGAAAAAAATAAATAAAGCGATGACAATTATAGTCACCAGCCATTTGGGTTTTATTACGCAAAATATTTTGTGCCCACTCAGTTGATCTTTGTTAGAGACATTTACAACCTGCTGCTGTGCTAATTTATTCAAAAATAAAAGTCATGCTAAGTCCCAGAGGACTTACTCCCATCCCAGGCAAGGTCCTAGTGTGGAACCGCCAATTTTTTAAAATTAAAATGAACAGAATGCTAACTAATCGTAAAGTTATCTTGTACTAAATTAAAATTAATTGTGGCAGGAGAACAGTTGTTTCCCCCCAGCGAGAGATGAAAATGATTTGAAAGAGGGCTTGCAACTTAAACATGTGCAATCATTTTACTTTTGTGTTGTTTGAAAAACCTGCTTTGCAAGAGGTAACCATGAGATAACTATAGTGTGGATATAATATAGAAAGTGTTACCGCTCTCAAAAACTACTCCTGATTCTAGCCTTTGGCCAAAACACCCCTGCCCCACCTCACCTTCCTCAAGTGTTCTTACAGTTTTCCCAAAAAATAAGCAGAATGTGTACATAGAGACCAAGTCCCATAGTAAACACCCCTCTATATTGCAGGCAACCCATCTTTACTGCAGGGAATATTTACCTTCCAGTAAGCTCTTCTGGCTACTGGCCTCCTCTTAAAAGAGCAAAACAGCAGGGGATACTGGAAGGGCAGAACAGGGCAAAGACCTTCTGGCAGTCAGCCCAGAAAGGATCTGAGCTAACAGAAATGCCAGGAGGCAGTGACCAGGGAGCATAAGTTCCCTGTCTACTGAGAAGTCACCTGGCTGCGTGTTCTTCAAGCTGGAATCAAGCCTGCTAAGCAGGAGATGGCAGGAGATAGGCCTAAGCTACTGCAAAGAGGGGAGACATTTCTGAATATACAGGCAAAAGAAGGATCCTAGACCTGTAAGTCAGCTGAAGATGATTACAAGGCATATGAAGGAAGTTCTTGGCTTATCTCTAAAAGTCTTATCTTTAATGTCCCGGAATATACTGTGAGAGACCAAGCATAAATCATAGGACTAAGAAGCTTCTAAGAGAACTGGTTTCCTACATCAGCAATTGGTATGTGTACTCACAGGATCAACTCTTTAACCCCCACCTCCCCAAACATTTATTTACATCCTTCTAAACACTGAAGGCATCATTAACACTCTGGGAAGAACGCTACACTATGCTCTCAGCATGTTCAACAGGAGAGCAGCAAACATTTCCAGCAATTTATAAACTGGAGTAGTTCCTCACATAGTGTTATAACAAAGGAGTGGGAGTCTCTTGTAGTATCTGGCACAGTGTCAGATGTTCCAACCGTAGAACAGACTGTATTTTTGAATGGGAGAAGAGCTAACAGCCACATATACTTGCATGGTTACAGTGACATGCCAGAAAAACCACAGCATGAAAGGATTCTGGACTGCTTTGCTGCTGTAGATGCAAGAGCAAACTAGAGCAGGAGCCAACATTTGGGTGAATGTAGAAGTGCCAACTTTAGCAAAGTAGAGGGAGTAACCTCAGAGGGTTTGTGCAAATTTATTATTCTGATGTCTAACAGGCACCATGATCACTGACCATTTTCAGTAATACTGTAGAAATAATTAAGAGTTAAAAGTCACTAAGTTCTAAAGTTGATATACTGCCTCTCCTGCATATACTGTTGCACAGTTATAAATATCCTGTGAGAACAGGTCTTACAACTTTGCCTTGTTCTGCGATGAAGAAAAGTGTTTCCCCATGTTCCCTTATCAAACAAGAACAATAAAATGACAATTGTGGAAATTCTCACTCTGATTATGGAGATTATGGAGCCATTTTTCAACAATTGTTCTCAATGCAGGTTACAAATAAAGAAAAACAAAGAACTTTTAAAATTACAGAAATAGTAGTGGGGCATTATAAAAGTTGCAGATGAAAAACAGAGAGGTGACGCTGAAACAACACTGCAGTTATAAAAGGCTTGCCAAAAGAGAAAGATCTTGGCAACTTGTTTTAAAAGGGCCAATCTCCTGAATCTGTTATGCTGAATTTAGCAACTGATTTCATAGTTTGGAGGCCACCAATGAAAACAATTTTTCAGTGCCGGCCACAACACTAATAGATTATGAGAATGCCAATAGGTTTTCCCTCCTAGAACTCAAAGAGGAAGAACATAAGGAAGAAGGTACTCCCAAAGCACTAAGCACCTCTGCAAAGTCCATCATAAGGATATATACAAACCAGAAAGGTGGCCTTCACCAGCATCTCAAATGGCTGATCTTGAAAGAGGAAACCACATCTACTTCCTATGATACAAAAAGACAAAAAACAATTGATAGTCAAATATACCATTACAATAGCCTTGCTTTTAACAAGTCAATCTAATATTTCTTTCAGCTTCCCTTTCTGGGTAAGAGTGGGAAGCTTGAGGGCTGAGTTCCATAAGTGGCATAGGCACTGTAAGTGGCCATGGGATAAAATGTCTCTCTCTCACACCCACCCACTCTCTCTGGTGGTGCTATATTGCTCTAGTCAGCAGATCAAAGGCAAAACTACCCCTAAGGCACAAGTGGCAGCACATTGTAAAGTGATACATTTACATTTTTTGAACTTGGCTTGTGAACTATAGGATACAGGGCCAAAATAGATGCACCATGCAACATTTATTGTTTGCCCTTGTGTGTCCTTTTGCTAGAGGAAACAAGCCAACAGCCAGTTCAGGGAAGCTAAGCTGAATCAGGACTGTGGCAAGAGAAGAGGGTTTTTTTTAGTTTAGGGTTTTTGTTTTTGTTTTAGAATTGCACCTTCACACCTGCTCCCACTGGTACCAATCTAAGCTTTCCTCCCATTGTGGATAGCAGGCACAGGTGGTGGGTTGATGGAATTCCAACCAGGATTTCAACTGGGGCCAACCCCCTCCATTGGCCCAATCTGGTTACTACCCACTTGAACCTACTGCCAATCAATTTCTTTGGGTGACTGACTACCAATTCTCCTGTTGTGAGAAAGAACAAAAAGTTCTCACTATGCACTTCTTCCATACCATGTATAATGGTATATTTGCAAGAAAATACGAAGACAAAGTTTCATTTTACAAGAAGCATATTTCAATTGCACTTTCCAACGGAAGCTTCCTTCAAAGAGCTCCTCCATACTTCTGTTTGCCGCATCACTTTCCACTTTTTGCCACTGAGCTGAAACAAATGGCAAGCTCTTGTGCAGACTCTGGAGGCTCTTGTGAGGCTGTCCAAGATCTTGCAAGAGCCTACCACAGCCCGGTAAGCAAGTTTGAGAATTTTAAAAGCTCTTTAGTTTTTAAGCTATCCGCCTTGGATGCATTTTCAGCTGGCTAGTTGCCAAGCATATAAAGCTGCAATCACGCAAGTTAAACGTGTGCAAGATGTTAGTCAACTGTATTTTAAAATCAACGCCTCTAGGCATAAATCAACTTTCTTGCCATAAGTAAACTTGGTCAGTTTCCAAGTATCGCGGATAGAGGGGTAACATTTCCATATTCTAGAAAAGCTTAAGCCCAAACACTTTTCTTCAGAAAAATTACCCACAGGTAAAACCACAGCTTTTCTTTGAAACCTCCAAAGGATGACAATTTCACAATTATTCTAGAGTTGATAGACCTTTAAGTAGCTTTTGCTAATGCCTATCTTAAACTGGTCTTTATTTAAAACTATTTCTTATAGTACTGTATCTGGTAAACTAGAAGAACAATTTTCCTTCCTCTTTCTTAATGGACGGTTGCACATTTTTATTTATTTATTACCCCACCTTTCTTCCACATATAACACAATGCAGCATATATAAGGTTCCCAGGCAGTCTCCCTTCCAGGCACTGCCTAGACCCAGGCCTGCATAGCTTCACAAGGCAGCTGCATCACATGCCTTCAGGCCAAGTGTACATTTATTCTTATAAAAAGGCATCTAGAATTTGGAAGGGGGAAGCAGTGGAGGGGGGCAGTTTTAAGTGGCAAAATTACCAGCAGGGAAAGGGTGATTATTCTCCAGAAAAAATTGCAGACTTTTGAGGATGCTTTTTAGTTAGCTTAAAAAAAGTATTTTAAAAAATGGGGCGTTGGTACATACATATGTTACATTTCTACTCTGTGCCAAATGTTTCCCAAAACACAATCTTTACTATGTCACATATTGGCTACTGTGCATCTGTACATCAAAAGATGATTCAGTAGAATGTTGCATATCCTAGCATTTCAGTTATAATCTACTGAACAACACAATATATTTGCCTTGTTTGCAGGTAATGCTGAGCCAAACAAACAATGAGTGATAAACCAATATCAAACCTTGGTTACAGCCAGTGTTTGAAACTCCCATTGTTCTAGGCGCATTTTGCGACAGGGAATTTCATCAGCACGAGCTGTTTCTGAGCTCTGGGCACAGTACTGCGCCTAAGATTTCAGATTAAAACTGCCGTGTGGAAGGAAAGGAGGACCTTTTTCTGCCTCCCCACTTTCAGCTAATCTCTGAAGACTGGAGAAGAGACCCTCTTAAGAATATTAGGGGGGTGGGTAGGGGAAGAACTAGACCATGTGAAAAATGAACACAATATTTTAGCTACAGTTCATTCATTTTCAGCTTTGTATTCTTGTTATAAAAAGAGCGCGCCTAGACATTCTGTTGTTGCGCCCTTAGCCTAGGTTTAAGGTGCAATTCAGCTCCTAGCTTTCATATCTTAGTTTCTAACACTGGTTACAGCACATGGTTTGTTCGGAGTGAGACAAACCTAGGTTCACACACAATGCTAAGTCAGGCCATAGCTTAGCTGTGGGTAGCACAGCAGCAGCAGGACCTGGGGAGGATAGAAGTAGATGAGATTTTTGTTCTGGGTACCCACAAGCTTGCTTGCGTTTGCTAAGCCATAGTTTGGCTTACAGTTAATATGCGAACTGGCCCACCATAATCTGTATGGCCTCCATTTCAGCAACATGAAATTGCCTCATTTAGATGGCTAGGTCCCTCCTTGTTTTCCTGAATACATGTGTTTAGCCAAGATTTTAATCCTTTAGAGGAGAGACTACATGCATCCTTTTCTGACAGGCTAGACAAGATTCTAGAGTTTACTGATGAGTGAACAATCACCATGACAGACCAAGCATCAATAATCAAAGCAACAGCTAGAGCAAGCCTATCAACTGACTGCAGTATGCAGACAAGTACAGTACAAGACCTTTTGCAGGTAGCATTTAATTTAATTCATCCTCACTCCTAAAATGATTGCGGAAAGCAAGTCTCATTTAGTTCAGAGATTTGACTAGTAATGTGCTTAGAAAGTTAACTTTGAACTTGAACCCGTTCCCCAGAAGGGAATATGGCAGTTTATCAAAATGTCTGTCATATTTTTTTGTTTTTTAAGTTGTAACTTGTAACATATAACTACACTCAAAGTAGAAAGATGAAACCCCTTCAGTTGATTTGTGCATTCGGTTTTCAAAACTGCAAGAATGACAGATATATACCGACAACCAAAGCAATATATACATACACTAGAGACCAAATGATATATATTTATATTCCACATTTGTTCATAACACAATACACTATCCTATTTCCTAAATTCTATAAACTATCCTGATGCCATATACTTTATATAGAACTTTTTATATATTAAACTTCTTTTATTAAAATTCCAACAGAACATACATCCCCACCTGACATTATGTTTAGGATCTGAATGTGAGACATTGCTAAGAGAGGACATCTGGATAATAGTGGAGGATGAAAAAGTTCAGACTAAGTTCTTCTATCAATAATTCAACACATTTCAAAACAACAATAATTAAAACCAATCTGGTAATAAAATCCACAAATGACCTCATGTGACAACCTCAGTCACTTTTACAGATTCAAAGCAATCAAGGGGAAACAGTGAAGCAAATGAAAAAGTGCAGGTAACACCCAAGTCCCAACACAATATAGAGTTATTCTGGAATAAAGTAGAAGAGAAGTATATGGGGGGTGGGGGGTTTAGTCCAAAGTGTGTGTTTAACAGCCTCCTGTAAACTTTTATTTTGGAAGAGCCAAAAGACTGATAAGGAACGATTCCCAGGTAAAGGAGAGAAAGAAGGGAAGGGAAGGGCCGGACATGGATGAAAGATATCAAAATATTGGATCAGAAGAAGAAAGGCAGTCTTCTTAAATAAGGAAAAGTAGTCAGCATGAATGCTGTTTCCAACAACTATCCTGCCAGATGCCTCCAGGAAGCCTTCAGCAGGTCAGGAAGGCAGCTATCCTGCCCGTTTATATGCTCTCCCCCCTCCTCCCCCAGCACGTGTTATTTCAAAGGTATACTGCCTCTAAACACAGAGGCTCCATTTTACCATGACTAACAGCCCTCGATAAATCGACCGGATCTATCTTCCTCCACACACACACACACACACACACACACACACACAAAGTGGCCGTCGCCACATCATATGGCAGCCAATTCCAGATGAATTAATTAGACTCGTGTGCCAGAGGATGCTCCAGAGAAGTGGGGGTGTGGGGTGTGGAGAAGAGAGAGCAAGGCGAAGGAATAGAGGAGCAGGCTTCGTATAACGGGGGAGGGGGGTTTTGGAACAATAATTCTAACAATGAGCGGCCACAACAACAACAGCAGCACCCCGTTAAAGCGAGTGAGCAGCACCCACCAGACAAGGAGGCGCTGCACCCCACCCAGCAGGCCCGCGGGGTCAGGAGGCATCACCCCAAGGAAGGGGAAAAGTCAGGGCCCACGATGCGTGAGGCAGGCAGCGCTATGGGCCGCTCGCTGTCACTCCGCCAGGATGGGCTCGGCTGCCCCTGGAGGGCCCGGGCCTTTGCTGGGCTGCGGGGAGCACAGCCCCCCTCTCCCCAACCCCTCGCTGGGCAGCCAGGCCGTGCCCGGCTCCGAAGCCCCGCTGCTGGCAGGTTCCAGGCCGAGGCGGCCTCCCCGCTTAGAAGCGCCGCCGCCGCCGCGGCCTCTTCGCTGCTGCTCACCTGCGGCCGCCGGGGCTCCCTCCTCTCACTCCCTCGCCACCGTTATCGCCGCCGCCATGTTCCGAAGCGCAGGGAGGTGGTGATGGTGGGGAAGGGGGTGGGGGGGATGAGGGAGGGAAGGAAGGAGCCTGCCCGGCCCAGCCTCGCTCGGCCCAGCAGCGCCGCCCCCTGCCGCCTCAGGACGAGCCGGGGAGCCCCGGCCTGTCAGGGGAAGCGGGAAAGAGCCCAGACATCCTCCGCCTCCGCCTCGCGCCGGGTGGCGGGAGCAGCGCCGCTGCTTCACAGCGCTGAGACGACGACAGCCGAGATGAGGAGGAGCCTCGCCTGCAACCCCGGCGGCGGCGGCGGCGGCGGCAACATCAGTCCGCGGCCTCTCCGCCCCGTTTCCCTCCTCAAAAGGCCGCCGCCGCGTCTCCGCCTCACACAAAACAAGAGGCAGTTAAATAGGCCCAACACAAACACACACAATTCCAGCCCTCCCATCGCGCCGCACAGATATTCTGCTTTTCCAGCTGCATTCGCTTTTTAACGTAGCGCTGTTGTTTGAATTTATATACCGCCCTATACCCGGAGGTCTCAGGGCGGGTCACATAAAAAGATCACAGTATATAAAATAAAAATAAAAGCAATAACTCAATCAGTGCCGGATTTACGTATAAGCTAAACAAGCTATAGCTTAGGGCCCCACTCTTGGCCCCCCCCCAAAAAATAAAGGGGAAAAAAACCCTACATACAGCAACAGTGTTTTGTGTTGTTTAGGCTCCTATGATGTAAATATTTTGTTATGTGCAAATGGCTTTAGATACCTATTAGGTCCATAAATTACCATATACTGTAGCATATATTCAACACCAAAAAACAGCGACCATTTGTTGTTGACAAAGGACAGCTGGACATATAAAGTGCCCCATTACCTTCAATAGCTTAGGGTCTCATCAAACCTAAATCTGACCCTGCCCGGAGGTCTCAGGGCGGATCACATAAAAAGACCAACAGTATATAAAATAAAAATAAAAGCAATAACCCAATAATACCCTGCCCCCCTGTACTGTTGTGCTTTAAATGTTGTAACCCGCCCTGGGAACTTAGGATGAATAATAACAATAGTAACAGTAATAGTAATTTTCTGGTTCCTTATTCCTGGTAAAGCACTTCAGATGTTGTAATTCTTACACGTTTTGGGACGTGGGTGAGAGGGAGAAATGGGCTTATCCTGAGTCGCAGATGGGGAAAGGAGATGGTAAAACGGTGAGGACCAGAAGGAAAGGAAATGCAGGAAAGTTGTTAATTAAAGAAGAAGGAAAAATAGCTGTTGATAGCAGACTTTCTAGCATTGGAGAACCAATGCTATAGTGTTAGAAAATCCATCCTCTTAATTCAATTCACTGGATGTCTTGATGAATTGCAATGTGGTGGTTTCACTTTGTCTCCTTTTGAAGTTCCCTTTGTTCCAGAATAGGCACCTTAAGGTCAGTTACAGTGTCTAGGAGGTTAAAATGTCCCCCACTGGTTTTAGAATATTGCTATTTCAGATTTCTGTCCATTTATTCTTTTCTATTGCTTTCCTTTCCTTAGGATCACATCAGCAAGGCTGATTCAGTACTATTTTGGAAACATGCCTTATCAGAAATGTTTGCCTCTGTTAATAATAATAGTACAGTGGTACCTCGGGTTACAGACGCTTCAGGTTACAGACTCCGCTAACCCAGAAATAGTACCTCAGGTTAAGAACTTTGCTTCAGGATGAGAACAGAAATTGTGCAGCGGCAGCGGGAGGCCCCATTAGCTAAAGTGGTACCTCAGGTTAACAGTTTCAGGTTAAGAACGGACCTCCAGAAAGAATTAAGTTCTTAACCTGAGGTACCACTGTAATAGTAGTAGCAACAACAACAATAACAACATCATCTTCATCATCAACAACAGCTTTCTGCATTTCTCTAGAATTTAGAAAGACTTAACTGGGACCTTAATGTGTTTTGGTGGCGTTGGCGGCGGTGACAGGGGGAGCAGATAGATCACATTGGTTCTTGGTGCACCATGGAATAAGATTAATAAGAATGACATTGGGGAGGTTATAAACTGATAGACTCCACAGCATATAACTTTCATTGTCTGCTACTTATCTTCTGTATAAACTCTCTGAGAGCCAGTGTGGTGTAGTGGTTAAGAGTCTCGTAATCTGGGGAACCGGGTTCGCGTCTCTGCTCCTCCACATGCAGCTGCTGGGTGACCTTGGGCCAGTCACACTTCTTTGAAGTCTCTCAGCCCCGCTCACCTCACAGAGTGTTTGTTGTGGGGGAGGAAGGGAAAGGAGAATGTTAGCCGCTTTGAGACTCCTTAAAGGGAGTGAAAGGCGGGATATCAAATCCAAACTCTTCCTCTTCCTCTTCTTCTCTCCACAACAGTAGCATCCTTCCTGTCCTTAAAACATTGTGCCCCTATATAAAACCTACATGGGTCTCTTGACCGGTGAAGCAATATGCCATCACTTCAACCATCCTCCCTACAATAACAATAACTGTTGAATTCATAAGACAGAGAGTTCCTAACCATATTTATACCTATTAGACACCCTGGTTGTTCTTTCTGCAAGTTATCAGCTATATATAGGAAGCATGCATGAATGTGAACAGTTCGGACTGTTCAGTCATCTATTGTTTTCCCTGTCCACTGCTTCCCAAAAAAGTATTCATAAGAACACATTCAGCCAAGGAAGAGAACTGTGCCTGGTGTGTGACATGCAATGAGCATGAAACGGATTAGGTGCATTGTCCAACAAGGATTCAGCTGAGGTTATTATGTTCCTGGCTAGGACATCCTGCAATGTTCCCTTGTCTTCCCACCCTTTCCAATATCAGTAGATTCGTACAGTATATGGAACACGTCAAAACAAAATGCTCATGCCACAGATACAGATTAGTTGCAATGAGCAGGCAATATTTTATAAATCTTTTCAATATTATAAGAAATGTTTTAATATTAGAAGCAACAGAAAGACAAAGGATATGCAAGGACCATACTTCTACTTGGAAGACTGATCTCAAAAGAGAAGGCAAAAATAACAAATCTTTGTAAAGTAAGAAAGCTGTGAAGAGACATTTACAGTGTTCTATGCATGTTTACGCTATGTCCCATTGAGTTCAATTAGACTTGCTTCCAGGTACATGTGCATGGATTGTAGCTTGAAAGGGGATGAAGAATGGGGAAAGGTCAATAAGGAAGGGGGGGGAGAGACTGCTGAGGAATATTTGGTAATTTAATGAATTCCAGTCAGCATGGCCTAATAATGATATTCAGTGAAGAATTCTGAAGGAGTGAGCTGGCCACATCTCAGAAGCACTATGTATCACATAAAACAATACAGTGGTACCTCGGGTTACAGACGCTTCAGGTTACAGACTCCGCTAACCCAGAAATAGTACCTCAGGTTAAGAACTTTGCTTCAGGATGAGAACAGAAATTGTGCGGCGGCAGCGGGAGGCCCCATTAGCTAAAGTGGTACCTCAGGTTAAGAACAGTTTCAGGTTAAGAATGGACCTCCAGAATGAATTAAGTTCTTAATCCGAGGTACCACTGTATAACTAGACTTCAGCAAAATCTGTGAACTAGGTGCCCATGCCGTAGTGGGAAATATGCAAAGAAAGGAAAGCTGGAGAAATTAAAACCATCTTTGGTCCTGAGCAGACCGCAGAGAACTTCAACATAGATTTTGGTGGGAAGACAAATCGCAGCGGAAAGGAAACAACGTTGCATGTGATGAATACAGGACAGAATGGGAAATGGTGCCTTTTCACATCCGTACCTGGAGAGGCCCACAGGAAAAAGGCTTCATGTGCCAGTCATAGCTCTCAGTGCTGTTTGGGCTGACGCTTGTGAGGGAAAGAGCACTGAGCAACTGTTGGCATGTCTGCTATGAGTCTTTTGCTGCGGTTCCTCCATCTGTGCCTGTGATTGTAAAGGGTCTGAAAATACCCAGGAGAGTGTGTGTGTGTGAGAGAGAGAGAGAGAGAGAGAGAGAGAGAGGAGGGGAAGGATGTATCCCGTTTCACCCAAATGTGAGGGAGTGAGGCTGGGTGTGACTATCCGTTTCCAGTGCTATCTCCAGTTAGTTACACTTCTCTAGACCCACGAGACTGGCTTTGGTGCTAATTTGCCATAATTTTCAGAAAGGTGTGTGAGAGTTTTGTATTATGTCTAGCGTTCCCAAGAATCTCTCCGCAGCAGGGAACAAATTATTTTGTTTATATATCTTGAATCCTAAGTGCTCCATGTGGGAATATTTAGTCATTGAGATTTGCAGCCTGCCTGTCTCAGGGGCTTGTGGCAAGCAATAATGTTGTAGAAATATTCCTTGTCCAAAGGCTCATCATCTAAAACAGAGAATGGGAATCTGGGTGTGTGTGCAAAAAAGGAGAGGAACAAAATGGAAAGGGAGGAAAATAAAGCGGGGATGCCATGCAGAAGTTTTACACCTATTCAGTGCTTTTTTCCGCGCGGTGGGGTACGCAGGGGTACGTGTACTCCTAAACATTTTGTGAATCTAAGTTTGGCCTCATTGTGGGGCAATATTTCAATATGAGTAGGAAAACGAGAGTACCCCTAAACATTTTTTTTAAAAAGAAAGCACTGCATCTATTTTTTCTAAGGGCTTTTAGACCGCCCCCCTCGTGCAGTCCCAATTCTCTGTGGAAATAATATTTTCTTCTCTCTCACAAACAAGAAAATCTGCAGCATAAAAACTCAAAATGATAAGCACAGATGTCCCTTGTGCTGCAATTTTCTCTCACTCTCAAAACATGTTAATTTCTACATTCGTGCCCATGTTGTTAAATTATCATAGTATTTTCTTTTTTAAAAAATCAACATTAAAAAAAGCTTGCAAAGTCTAGATTATATGTGGAGAAGGTGCCTAAAGGAACTCAGTCGGGTGTTTGTTAGGGTTTCAGTCTTAATTTGAGCCTTTGTGCAGTATGACATGTGGTATATACCAAGTTTTGGCCTTATTTATTTATTTAGATTTATTTATAACAGTATATCTAGACTGCCATATCAATTGAAACAGCTGCAAAGGCCTGTCAGCATAAAAGAGTATTTGAGAGATGCCTGAAAGTTAAAAATGAGGGTTATTGAATCTCTGCTGGAAGAACGTTCTACAGTATGAGACCAGCAACACCAACGCCACCTTTCAGGGTCAAGGATTCTTCCAGGATGGTTCACAATTAAAAGCGTGAAATGAATTTAAAGTATAAAGCAATGGAAAGCATAAAACAATAGCCATCGAACAATACCAGCCATTAAAATTATAACTCAATAACATTATTCAGTTAAAAGGGTTGGAATAGCCAAGACTTAAAAACCCA